GAGATAGCATCAACGGGACTAGCTCAAGCCGAATTCCGCTAGCTTCGTGTGCTTTTTCAGAGTCAGCTGTCCGGCACCCGAAGTCGGCCTCTTGCCGAAGCCACTCTTTCGGCCCGGCATCAGCAGCTGGGGCAGGCGCGGACGCTTGCGGGGCCTCTCGAGGGCGAACTCCCATCGCTTCTGCTAAAAGATTTAAAGATTCTCCCTGCCGGCCAATGCGATCAGTAGCCCGTGCTAAAACTTGAAGTGCATTGACATGCCGCCGCTAGATCAGGACACACTGGTGCATATAGACTGCTTACATGAGATCTTGCCGCTTGCCTCTTCCTGCAGCCATTGCCGTGCCTGCGGAGCAGGCGCCTGCCCCAAGAACTTTTCCGAGCCGTGACTTGCAGTCTTCTCAAACCGACTCCCCAAGCCGCGCCTGCCCCTACCCTTTCTCAGTCTGTTGCACCACATTTGTTTCGAGCAAGAGGTTTTGCAGAAACACCTGGGTTGTGTGATTTATCCCGAACTCTGCCATTCCGGTCCGGTATTTGACAAGTTGTCCCGGGCGCATGTCTGAAACCCAAACCCTCCCACTGTCCGTGAACCTTTCGCTGCCCTTCTGCATTGACTAGGCCTGCGTGGTCTAGAACGGATAAAATTCACACCGCCCCCCCCCTCCAAATGTGACCCGGATGGCTCGCCTCTCTGCTGCACGGTGCGATTCCTTTCAAATCCACAAGCTGGGCTCGGCTTGAAGACGCAGCCGGGGCCTGCCAAGCCGCCTGGCGCTCGACCCAAGCCGGGACCGGCAGCGGTCGTGCGCTCGCCTCTGCTGGCGCTGCGGCGCCGGGGGGCGTTGCTGACGGCGCGCTCGGCTGCCCCTGCAAATGAAGAGGTAAAGACACTCAAGCTCCGTCACGGACCAGGCTGACAAGCCTCCGACTGCTGTTCTGACTTAACCAACATCAGGCCAAGCCAAAATCAATCTTTGTTACTGTATCGGATTCGGACGGCAGCACGTGCCCCGCACTCCTCCTGCTGGACGGGATTGGGGTTTCGTGACAAATCTCTAGCAAGGACCTGACCTTTCACAGCAAAGCATTCCCTTACCCGTGAAGCTCTTTCGCCTCAGGCCGGACGATCACGCTTGGATCGAAGGCTTCGGGGGGCGGTGTTGGTTGCCGACGGGGCCTGGCGGGCATTCTCGTAAGCCATGTGGAGACTGCTATTGTCGGACATTGCACCAATGGTTTTAGCAGCAGGTTCGCCAAGCCGAAGACAAGTTTCATATGCCACAGTTGGAACCATTGAATCTGCACGAGGGATGATCGCAAGCAAGAAGAACAATTAGTGCCTGGGTGGAGACACTGTGGGCTGTGTTGGTGCAGACTGCGTCTGCATCGTCGGCGCTGGTGCCTCAACACTCCAGGCAAAAAAAACACACAGAAACTTTGCGTCGTCTAGGTGCATTCTAAGATCTGCTGGCTGACAGCTGTTCATCTCGCTTCAAGGCAGGGTTTCTGCCAGCTCACATCCAGCTGCGGCCGAGGTGCTTGAGTTGTTTGGGGACGACCTGCTTGTGCCCACGGATCCCTGCCGCCTGGGAACAAATGCATTGAAGCTGCAGGCGCAGGTGCACGAGTGCGGGTTTGAGCTTCCGTTCCATCATCTGCAGCTTGTGGGCAGTGAGATGAAATTGCGCGGCCCCCACAGCTTTCAGCTTCATTAATCTAAGAAATCCTGACACGCCGCAAGCTCTTCATGAACATCAGGCTCCTTTTCATCAAACTTGCCCAGCGTCCGTCCCACGGATCTGCTCCGGCGGCTGCCTGCCCGAAATCAACACGCTCTGAGCAAACTATGAGGTGGGTTGAACGATTCAGTCAGTGCATGCTCTCGTCTAACTGTTTTCACAGTCCGGATCTAAATGGACCAGTCGCTTGTGCTGTTGATGGCAATGGTAAAGTGACAAGTGGACCGCTTGTTCTTTGAAGCGCCAACAAATGCTTCTTCCGAGAGCACGATCGCCTCATGCCATCGGCGGACGTCGCAAAGTACCAAGGGATCTCATGCTGCTATATGATGCTGAGAAAACTTGGCAAAGAAGGTGAGGTCCCTTGCGGAATGCTTAGTACTCAGTGTTCTGTGGCTGCCAGTAGGATCTGTGAGAACCTGCTCTGTCCACTCTCGTCAAGACAGTACCGTGAACGCAAACGTGGAGTTACACAGGCAGGCCTTGGGCTCAGGTGGCGTTGGCTTAGGTCCTGAGCAGCAACACAATGGCACGCCGTACATGGGTGACGATTGAAATGAAGTGTGTTGAAGTTCCGCACTGTACAGTGGTCGGGTGACAACAAGACTGGCTTGAAGACCCAGCCTACTGGGACAAGTGTAACTAGTGGGGACTTGGCCAGCCAGCGATCGGAGACAGGAGGGAGCGAGAGAGAGACCACAAGACTGCGGGTCTATGCTTGTGCCCACGAACAACAATCACAGTGCTAAAGCTACACGTCTGCTAAAAGGCACTTTCAAAAGCTCGGAGTTCCGACTTGCGACGAAGAGTCTGACAGGCACCGCGCCCGAGCCCAGTCCATGGGCCTTGGAATAGCCAAGCCTATATATATATATATGTATATATGTATATATATATATATATGTATATATACACATACGTACATACACACCCTCATACATTTATATGCATATGGGTAGCATATATATATATACATATGTCCATGTACAGATATCGTTTTTGGTGTAGCACTCGCGCTCGAGAGACTCAGATTTTGTACACATATGTATAGATATGTGTGTATACGTTTATTTCGATAAATACATATACAAAATACAGATGCTTGAATGTTGTGTATTCTAAAACATGTGATTATTGTACACTATCATCCAGCACCTCGCGGTAGGCTAATCCCACACGACAATACCACTACTACGACTACGACGACTACTACTACCACCACGGCGACGACGACCACCACTACCACTACCACCACCACCACCACCACCACGACGACTACTACTACCGCCTCGGGGATTTAGAGCCGATCTTGGGGCAAGACAGGGGTGCAATCTTGCTCATCTTGCTTTTCAAGATTTTTTGGGGTCAGCATGGTGTGCAAGCTTGCTCAGCGTTGGGGGGGTGGGGGGGAAGATTGGCGTGCAGGCTTGCCCATCTCGGTAGGGACAATGAAACGATGATGTTGAGGTGAGCTTGTCTCTTACGCTGTCGTGAGGTTGTAGGGCATGCTGATGCATGCTGTGAAGACATGGGGAACTTGGCACTGGGGCCTTGCGTGGTTCCTCAGGTTGCATCTTATCTCACATGTCTCTTAACACACGGAGAAAGGCTAGCAGGAGTCGCGACGATCGTAAAATAGCAGGCGCTACCATCAGTCCTGGGATTTCGCAACCCTGCCCGATACCAGCGTGCCCGGTCGCGCGAAATGTCACATGGCGTCCTGCTGATTCGCCTCTCCGTGCTGCCGGCGTGTCCGCTTCCTCCGGTAATTTCGATGCTTGCGAAATTACAATGCATCCTTCTCGAAATACGAGTCCTTTAGGTACTTTAGGTGGTCCCGGCGCGTGGCACCCATTGCATCGTAAATTTCAGGACATTGGCGTCGCCTTTATCTCGAAGTGACAACCCTCGCGGTGGTTTAAATACTGTACTTAGGGGAAGCCGTGCTGGCAGTTGGGGGAAAAGAGTTGGGGGAACATTTTGGGCATGTCTCCGAATCCAGCCAGCACATCATGAGGCGAAGCATTTCGGTCGTGGCCTTGAATCACCAGTACATGGGGGGAACCATGTTGCTAGAGGAACTGTCGTCTCTCTGAATTACTTGGGGGAAGCCTGGCGATGTCTCTGAACCCTGCGAATACATGGGGGAAACATGTTGGCCGTGCTCTTGAAACACAGCACTAGTTACATTGTGGCAATGACGTGGTCAAAGGTTTGCAGAAGTGGCTATAGACGGGTTCATAGAAAGGTATACAGACAAGATCAGAGGGGTTTATAGAAGGCTTCGCGTAGATGGTTCTAAACTTGCTTTTTACCGAGAGGCTTCTAGTAGGGCTTGTTGACGTGGTTGTAGAAGTGTTTATGATGCGTGGATGTCTGTTGTTACCCAAACACTCGTTCTGCAGTTTCCTGGGTCAAGGCGGTGTGGTTCTCACCACCTGTCAGGCATTGATACCTGGGCAGTGACAACCGAGAAACCAAGCTGAATCAACAGCCCATCAGCTGCGAAGCGTTGAGCCCAAGGTTCGACTCGTTGAGCAATGCCCAACGATTTCCGTCTTTTGTTTGACCCTGCTTAAGGCGGCTTTGGACGCTCCGCTGTTCCTGAGGTGCCGGCTGTGGGTGGCGAAGGAAACGTCTTACCAAACATGACGGCCACTGGGGCATGTGCGTCAGGTATCTGATATCTGCCAGTCGAGATAGGTGGCACTGACCGTGGTCTGAAGGTTCGATCCGACGGATGTGAATTGCAATCATGGCCAGATGTATGCCGGGGATATGAGGGGCAAGGGTTATCTGCCTGTTTCCACATAAGCTGAGCCTCAAAATTCAGCGCCTCGCGAGTGGTCGGTCAGCGAGTTTACGGGAAGCCAGTAAGAGCTAACTTGGCTCAGAAAAAAACTGCTCTTCCGCTGGCTGGGTTTGCCAGAAATCGCCCAGAGACCGAGCACACACACACACAGACGCACACACTTTGCGGTCAACCCAGTTAGCTGAGTGCAGATAAGTGAATGAGTTACGACGAGCTAGTGTTGCCGTGATCTTTCCTTGGGAGGGCAGAAGCTGGGAGTATCAGCTGGCCTCGCCGTGTAGTTACGGCATGTAACTTGCACTATCTATCTGTGCGATTGTGAAACAAGCAAAACGATCGAATGGTTTAGTCTTTTTCCACCTGCTTCCAAAGACTGTGCGGCCTTTCTCTCACAGGAACCTCTGCCCCATACATGGGGAAAGCAATCGCATCAACTCTCCAGAACTCCTACTCGTCATCGCTGGTCACGAAAGTTGTGCGAGGTCGCTTTGCTGGTCGGCTGTCTACATCTGTCCTAAGTGAAAGCTTCGTGGCGCAGCTGCATAGCTTCACTACTGCACAAGAGCGAAACCCGCATGACAATGGCGCGCTCTCTCGACAATTGGTGCTGCACCGTCCAACCGTAACGACGGCGGTTTTTCACTTTCAAGTTACAAGCAGTTACAGTTTCAAGGTCTGGTGGCGGTGACTGATGTCCTGGGATGGATATCACCTCCTGCATCGTGACTTCGTCATCGGACGAATCTGAGCAATGGCCTTCGGAACAGGTGTCAGGGTGTATCAACTCTGCGCCTACAGTACTCTGGCATGAGCTGCGAAGCTGCTTCCAAGGCAAGGCTCGAAGATCCACCGAAATCTTGGGAACCTTTGGCTCCAGCTTCTCTCGGTGCTTCTCTGCCCGAGGCTCGGCGTCTTGTGCGCGTTCGAGCACAGTCTTCCGAACCATGGCCTCGCACTGTGCGAAAGGCATGGCAGGGTTGGGCGGTGTTAGTATCCACGAAGCCTGACCATCTTCGGCGGGAAAACAGGAACTGGCCCCGACAATCAAAGGACCAGAAAGCAGTTTCAAGCCGGTTCACAATGAAACATGTCAGTGACTCTGAATCAGACACGGGGCCAAACTGTGACGTGGGATCATTAGGCCAATGAGCACGGTGTTGTTTGTCAGCTCGCATCTCATCAAGGAAGTTCCCTTCTCACCAAGCAGGGAGCACAAAAAGTCCCAGTGCACCAGGATTTGTCCGGTAAGCATGGTCTCCACCAAATTTCGCAAACCAGCTCTGCACTCACCTGTCTGTGTTGGGAAAAGCATTCAACCAGGACTTACCCATACACTCGGCTGCATCCAAGCAGCTGTTCCCACAGTGGTGCTTCCGTTGCCGGTGGATGCACTGCACTGCTGAGTCCTTGTGCTGTCGTTCCCAAGGTTCCTGGGCTTTCTCCTTGGTGACTGCAAGGAGGCTGCTGGATCGAAGCCGTGCCAGTGTGCAAAGGTGGCCGTCCAGCTGATTCTTGGGGCTGTCGTGGGGGTAGATCAGCCTGACAGTGTGCATTTGCACATGTGTTAGCAAGGCGCAGCATTGCTGGCATGGCTGATTGTTGTCGAGTGGCGTGTAGCACGTGGCGCTGTCACGCGCAGCCCTTCGCCGCAGCAAGAGCAAGGCTTCAGATGCCGCGGTCTCCAACGGACGCAGGTAGAAGCCCTGAGCACGCTCCTTCCCAGGCAGGTGCCCGTCAAGTCGTTTGCGGGTCGTTCGGGCATTGGGGAAGCCAAGGGCTCCTCGTCTTCCGGAGCCTGGCGGAGAAGTCGCTCTGCCATCTCGAAGGGCATGCCACGCTCTAGCCGCAAATGACGCAGCTCGAGCCCCACGCCTTTGCGAGACTGCTGCCAAGTCGTTATCGACTTGACGGCGCGGAGTACACATGTCATAGCCCTGCAAAAATCACGCAGAAGGCCTTCCAGCACCTCGGTCTTCAATTCCGACACCCTCTGAAGTCGTCCCCAGCGGCCACCGTGGTTCAGTGACCTGGCGCAGGGAAGAACCCTGAAAGTCCTGGCTCGCAGATCCACTGCTGAGCGGGGTGCACAACACCGGTGTCGAGAAGGCCGTCTCGCCGATCAGCTTCCTCCAGCTTGCCCACATGGGCTGAGAGGAGTTCGAAGAAGCCCTCCTGCGGCAATCGCGCAGGCGCGATACAGGAAAAACGAAGACTGAAAAAGAAATGCCATGCACTGGCAAGTCCTGGGTTCTGCACTTCATCCCCAGTGCCCGGTTCAAGAACTTCTTGAGCGTTTTGGGATCCTGGTAATCTCTACCTGGTCAGGGTGGCCACCAGTGCACAATTGGCCGGGTCCCGGTCAAACTGCCGAGCTGCCTTGCATGGGAAGCTTCTGAACTTCGAGAGCTTTCCGCGCATGTTCCACGAATTCCTCCCATCCTTGGCCACGCTGGGAGTCTCCAAGGGTTCTCGCAGACGTCGTTTACGCCAAGCAGCCCTGGGGCCAACTTATCAGATTCAACGGTATCGACGGCTTTCCTGTGAGGAGTTCGTTCTGCTCCGAGCAATGACAAGGAAACCGTACCCACAATGTCCCACCTGTGAGGAGGTCGGCCATGACCTGCGCGCGCAAAGGCACACTGCACGGTTTTCCCGCTGCTTGCGCTCTCGTAGTGCCTTGGCCAAGCCGGCAGCTCCGTATTTACTGCTCATGAGATCCAAACGTCCGAAGCCGAAGGCGTCCCCCCGAGCTCCGAAGCCTCAGCATCACACGTGGAGCTGACTGTCTGTGGAACTCGGCTTCTGCACCTGCGCGGCGATCTCCTTTGGTCATAGCCCCAAGCTGCCTTGGGACACCAAGCGCAGGGCACGTTCGTTCTAGAAGATAGCCAACTGCACATGCTGGTAGCTGGCTTTCTCACAGGCAAGGTTTAAGCCCTGAGACCGTTACCTTTGGATTCGGGGGGCAAGCAATGATGTAGAAATTTGCATGAGCGCTACTATTAATCCGTGTGCACCACTCAAGTGCTCGTTGCTGGCATTGTCAAGCCTTTGCTTAGGTCGGCAGTGCTGGACTTCTCTGACTGTGATGCTTCAAGCTTCAGCTCCTGACCCTTGAGTGGAAGGAAAGGAGCAGGGATCAAGTCCCAGACTATGATACGACCGGAAACCTGAACTCATTGGCTTCGCGGCCCGTGAATGTGTTGAGCCCAGTATACTATAGAGCAGACATGTGCGCATCGTGAACTTCAACCTCTGGCCTCTTATCTCCGAACGGGAGAGCAATAGAGTCGTGTACTTCTGCCCATCGGTCTCCTCCTGCTCTTCTGATCATGTCTGCTACTGGATTACCGCGAGGCGGAACTCTTTCTTGGAGGATCCAGGTGAGGCTGCGCTCTATAGGCTTTGGCTTTTGGGCTGCTCGAGAAGCCGATCGAGATGCGAAAGCCGCTTGGCAACAGCGGAGACAAAGCGCGCTTCGCCAGCAAGGTCGGTGACCTTCGCTCGTGGCACCACTGGGAAACGACTATCGCGAGGGACAAGTTTCTGATAAGGCCAAGCGTCGATGCAGGTGAATTTGGGCGGGTGCAGTTGGTTCGATCGATGAACACGCCCCAGTTGCTGCACCGCCTTGACAACGTGCTGCAAGGTGCAAAAAAATTACTGACAAGCAGCTGCCAGTTGAGATGGTAGCTCGAAGCAACTTCTGGATCTATTTCCTCCACCTTGTCGGCAGCCCAAGGCAGCTCGAGGCAGATCATTCGTCTGGGCTTTGGCGCTGCCGCGCCTGCAGCAGCTCTGCAAGCACTGACTGAACAGCTCTTGGTTCGGGGATGTTCGGGGTACTTGCGCCGATCATAATTCTTCCTCCCTGAGCTATGCTGTGTTGGCCGACTGTACCTGGGTGTTTGGGCGCCTTCTCTCAGTTCACGCCGATCGCAGTGCAGAGATATGCCAGCAGAAGCGGCTTCCGTGATGATGGCGAAGAGCTTTTTTCCCGTCTGAAAGGCCCGCTGTTCGGCCACGTTCACGGACTCTACGCCAGCAAAGCCTTGCGATTGTCGGGCTGCGCTTGCTTGACGGAGCTGCCGCTTCACCTCGCCGGTCGCGGGATCCTCTTCGCAGATCACTGACACATGTTGTGTGCGCCCGGCCCACGGCTGCAGCAGCTGCAAGCTTTCCGAAACCCTGGTCCTTGCAGCTTCTTTGGGAGCGTCCTGACATTTCAGCGACGCGGGACGCCCCGCCCAGGCGATCAATCAACTCATCAAGGGGGTTCGGTGGCCTTACATGGCTGTGTAGGTCATAAGAAAAAGTCAAACCCAAGAATCCCTAAAAACATGCTTGCATGCAGAGCCACAGCTTCAGCTGCCTCAGTCGCTGTAGGATGGCGGCCACTGCCTCGACCGCCCAAGACACCTCCTGATAAGAAATACGAATGTCAGAAGGTGTTCACCCAGAACCCGCAACATGCCCAGTGTCCTGGCCGCCCTTGCTTGTGGGAAGATGGGTCAGAAACCTCGCGCCGTTCTTTTTAGTTCGGCGGATTTCCGACATGTCCGATTCGCTTATTGCAGGGTTTTTGCTGGGTGGTGGGCTGCTCGAAGGTCAGCTCCGGTCCCGAAGCAAAGGAGTCACCGCCAGCCCCCTGGAGGTGCCTCCAACGAACCAGCAAAAGCAATCGGATCTTCAACAGCAGCTCTGCGGTATTCTGCCTGCTGATAGCTGCCTCGTTGGTAGTCCACAAAGACAACACCACGGCCTCTCCGGCTTGACGTGCCTGCAGCTCGGGGAAGTCTCACAAAGCACCTGTCGAAGTTCTCAATGCCCGCCTCGTGTGCCAGTTCGACTGCCTTCGCCACTTTGGCAGCAATGAGCAAGCCTTTGAAGAAACCTGTGGCAAGCTTGCCATACATTATAGCAGCGGTACCGTCTGTACCATTGCTCGGTGCCAAGGGACGTTGTTGGGCTGCCCAGAACTGGGACTCCGCTACCCTTCTTGTAGACTCGGAATTGAACATGTCCATGTCGATGAGCAATTCTATATGCTGCCGGAGGTCGCACCACAGGTCCACGGCAGCATCATACCTGCTCACTGACAGCGCACTTCGAGAACTCGACATAGAACAGGACAGGGGCAGCAGACGAGGCCACATCGCGGTTGCGATGCAAACATGCAGGAGAGAGTGGAACAAACATCTGAAGTCTGAAGCAGCTAAGGATCTGCTCGATTTCGGTGGTGCTGAGAGCAGCAGTGCAAAGCTCAAACTTGGTGCCGTTGTATGATAGCGATCGACAAGAAATCGAACCCAAGAGCCGCAACTGCACAGCCACAAGCTCCATGGCTGTGACGCCACCTTTCTCGACGACCTTCCGGAAAGATGCGAAAGTGGAGAAGGGAGGCTGCACGGACTTCCCAGGGAGTCCTTGCTCTCCCCAGAGTCCGAGTCTGACCATGTACTGCATGTGGGAGACTTCAGTGGCACCGGTAGCTGTCGAGTACAGCACCGGGCAGTCCGAGCAGGCAGCTTGCAGCTCCTCTACCAATGCAGCGCACCGGGTACCGGCATCCAGGTTTTTGGCTTTGTGGGCTTCGTCAAGAACGATGAGCCCGCTTCCTTTCGGTCCCCGGTGGCAAAGCCATGCCAGAAGCTGCTGGAAGCGAGAGATGTTGGACTTCCCCTTGGATGATCCACCTGTTGCACCCTCACATCTCTGATGCTAGCGCTTGACATGGCTTACAGCGCCTGTCCTGACGATACCAGAAGGGCATAGGTTAGGAACAAAACTCCGTCCTGCACGGACCGCATGTGCTCAACGGTGCTCCAAAGCTGGTGCATCACGCTGAAACGACATCGGATGGATGATGCTCACAAGGTGCGTGAAAGCACAATTTCTACTTGAGTTCCTAGAGACCACGCATACCTTGCATACTAGCAGCGAGTATCTGCAGCAAGCACAAGCCTGCAGAATACGAGCCTGGTGCCGTTCTCACTACAACAGCAGACACCGACATGAAACATTAGAAGAACAGAAACAAACCAGTTCGACCGACGCAAGAGGAGTCATGCCAGCCACAAGCTGACAGGGCTTTGCTGAAGATTACGAACCGTCCTTGTTCTTCCCGAGCTTGGCAAGTTCTGGATCTGCACCGTGAGCAGCATCGAGCTCGCCGCGTGCGCGGACACGGGCCAAATTGCATACCTCAATTGTCAAGGTACGTGGCACTACGACTACAACGAACCGGGATAGTAGCAACTGCAGCAAAAGACAAGGAGAAAACATGACGACAACTTACTGCGAACAGCTACAATTATCACAGATTCGCATTGAAGCGGTTAGAGCCAAGCAGCTGGAATTCCAGTCTTCAGATCCTGCAAATCCCGTATGGCGTCCTGGTACAGGTCCGCGGTAGCTGAAAGCCACCTGAGCAATCATTCGGGATGAAAGAGAACTCGGAAACTGATTTTGCATTATCTGCATCAGTTGCACACGTGACGACGACAGCCGCTGTTCCATTGGTCCAAGATGAGGGCTGCGATGCAGCGACCTGTCTAACGTCTTATGCTCGGCACCGAAAAATGTCCCTCTCAGCTGCGAATCGCTTCCCCGACCTTTGCCGCAACCAGTGCCGTCTCCCAGCAGGAAACCGCAACGAGCTCCAGATGGCAGACCCTGCTGAAAGCGACGTGACGCCAGACCCACGGCCTGAAGGCTGATCATGACACTGCTTAAAGAAATGGGCAAGGTCGGTGCTCCTCGAGTTGCGGCGATGAAAGCTTTCCATCCTCCAGGAGACGGAGGGGAATACGGATCGAATCCTGGGCATCGACGCGGCCAAGCAACTTAAATCAGCCGAAACCTCAAACTGATCTCATGTCCTGCGCCGTGAAGGGTTCTGGCTTCGTGTCTCGGATCGCTTGTGGCTCGCAAAGAGGATCAGGGTGTTCAATGCCTGTGGGCGACTTCCCTCGTATGTCGCATTTATTCGTGGAATACAGCTGTGCCTACGTCGTCCGGGAGCATGCAGCTGCGCCGGAAGCTGACCACGCGAGCTTCGGTGCCATCGTCGTCCTCATAGCCGGGCCAAGCAGCCCCAAGTCAACATGTCAAGCCCCAAGGCTACCACTTACAAACCCACCACCACCACCACTACCATCACGCTCCCCCCCGCCACCACTATATCCACCAACACCGCCTTCACGGCCGGCATCGTATCTCCACCCCACAACATAGTTAACAACAGAATTCAAGAACGTTGCACGTCACAACAACTGACCCAAAGCTGAACCGTCCGGAATGAGTTACAGTTTAACACAAGTTGCGCAATCTCACCGTCAGTTTTCTTGGACGCTTGGCAGCCGGCTTTGCGGACCCAAGTTTTTGCAGGATGTTGCAACTGATGAACCAACTAATGCTCAAAAATTGAAGCCTCCAGGTTGTCCCTGTTCTCGACCAGCTCGCATTCCGGCCCAGCATGGGAAGAGACAGCCAATGATTGTCGTCCACCGGGGCAAGCTGGAAAAACCCAGTCTTCAGATCCAGGAGCAGACGCTGCCCCTGCCGGGCCGGAGCCTGATCACCATGGCAACACTCGGGGATGACCCTGAGAATCGCATTCACTTTGTGACACTTCAGGAGTAGGGTCGCGTCCTATACTAACAGCCCGTTCACGACTCAGCGCTGGCATCTGCACCGGCAGGATCTAGAGGCACCGCTTTTTGGGCATCAGGCCTACCCAGCTTGAGCTGGAGGTTCTGTCGGCATGTCCTTGGCTGGGAACGTCATGACATGTCATTACAATCCGCCATGTCCGGGCGCCACTCCCATTGCTACTGCTACTGCTGCTACTGCTCCCCCTACTACTACTTCTGCTCCTGCACTACTGGCCAAGACACCACAGCGAAAATACCGAGATTTCGGAGCACGGCCACAATGCTTCCCGCAACTAGCGGTGGGAGCCAAACTTTTCCCAAGTTCGGGTGAATTAAGGAGCATGTCCACCACGCTTTCCCCCAAGTACTTTACTTTAAGACTTTAAAGTCATTTCACGTGTGCTTCACCCGGCGAAGACGGCCAACAAGCGTTTCTGCAGGTTCTCGCGGGACTCCGAGTTTTCGCTACCAAAAAGCGGCCCATGCATTGCAACTTACACTGTATGTAGCCCTCAGGGATGCACCACAGCACAGCAGGAGCCACGACTCGCTCACCTAGTGTCTTGTTTCGGTGCCGCCTCCTGCTCACCAATTGTCTTTACATGCAACGTCGGAACCCAATCTGTGTACCAGTGGTTGAGGAAACCACATTTACCGCTAGATTGACGTGCTCGCCGTATCTGAACGGTTCACTGGGGCGCCGTCTGCCCAAAGACCTTCTCGCAAAAGACCAGATCTTCGCGGGCGAGGAGGGCTGCTTTCTTATCCTCACAGCCTTGCGTGGAGTGAGCACGACGGCATCCTCCTCGATCTCGACCGTGACATCGCAGGGTGTTTGCGTCTTTGAGTTTTGGCTCCCGCATGGCACGTCTGGCGACCCGTTGGACGTGGGAAGGTCGTCTCGGCTATCATGGACCTCCTCCTGGCTGAGCAGGTCGATTTCCACGGAGTTCGTGCTGGATAGCCTGAGTATCACGTCGAGGGTGGCAAGCGACACCCAGGGTTCGTGCTGGGATGCCGCCAAGGTGCTGACTGAACATCCCAAGCGCTGCATGCTTTCGGTGACAGCCATTTGTGCTAGCCGGCAAGACAACTAGTGCTCTTGCTGGGCAGCTTTGGGACTGGAATTAGTTTGAAGATTGAAGCTGCCTTCATCAGACTTGACAATTTTTTGAGAATACCGCCATACCATGGATCCCATCACCTGTGTCAATGTGAGTTGGCCAGGCATGCCTCTTTATAATCGATTTTCCCAAATGGCCTGCGCCTTGTGTCGGTGCCCCCCTCACCCCTGCATCAAGCCGATAAGACCGCAGCCTTCGCTCGTTCTCTCGTATCCCATGCTTCCCAAGGCTTCGCAACCTGCCATTCGCTTGTTGCACCTGATGCATCAAAGCTTCTTTTCTATCGATCCCGCAAGTCAAAACGAGCTAGAATGACTCCTGTCTGCAAGCGCCTGGTGGATCACTCTTCTTAGCCAAAGTGAAAACACTTGTATCGGAAGTTCTGAGAAGCAACACTGTGCCTACAACACGAGGTCACAACCAAACCGATTCCTGTTGTAATGCTCGGTCGGGGCCAGCCCGACTGGCTGGCATCATCGGCGCTTGACATACGAATTCCAGCAACTTCAAATGACTGTGTGGCTGCCTGGCCATATCATGCCTGTCGAACACGTGGCCACCAAGCAAGCTGACATCCAGGTCTGGACAGCTGTGCACCATTTGTTGACGGAGTAGCCGCAGCCAGAAATTCAAACTTTAGCAAGGTCGCCCAACATACTTACGAATAGTCTGCATAGCCAGCAGCCTCGTGGCTCATCCTGCGTTCAAAACATGCTGTCCAAAGCTTGTCCTTTGTGAAAGTCTGTACAGAAGCCGTATTGTACAGGACTGTGCTATCCTGTGTGCGGCATCCGCCGACGTGGCGTGGGCAGTTCACTGGACATCTTCGCCAGCGTGTTCACCATCCAAACAAAGTCACTTAGTCTTTGAGAGTTCCCTGCTTAAACGGCTTTTGGACCCTTAGGTGGTGCCCTCCAGGCAACGGGTGATGGGCACGGGACAGCATCCGCTGCTTGAAATCGTCCCCGCCAAAACGTCGTGGTCACTCTGATCTTTGCGTGCGCTCCACGTCCACTGGTCACTTACAGCTTAGAATGCCCGTTCAACGGCAGCAGAAGGCGCAGGCTTCTCCCAGTTGTGACTCTTAATCGGCCTAGCGTTGAGACTGTGCGAGGGCAAGTCTCGGGATCTACGAACGAGCTTTGAAACAGCTGTGGAAGGAAGAGCCGGAAGCACGACAAGATATGTACGGAGGCTTAAGGCTTGATGCTGTGCTATGGGTGTAAAGGTCATTGCCGTACCATTACTGAGCACATGCTTCCGAGCATGCTCCGACAGCTTCGGAAACCTTTAGGCAGCCGCATGATGTCACAATCCCGGATTTTCAGCTGGTCGCTTTCCAAACCAGCCCTCGTCCGACTTCATCTAACTAACCTAGCTGGTGCGTGCGGTGTCCATAGCACACCGAAGGTGCAAAACGGCATGGCCTTACACCAAACAGAGGGAGAGTGACATCACTTTGCACCTCGTTAGAAATCTGCGAACAACCGCACTCATGTCAGTCCAACCGATAAGGGGATCGACAAGACAAGGGGTATAAGAAACACTGCGTCTGCTCGGCCAAAGAGGCCGATCTGACAATTAACTCTGTGCCTCTGACGAGCACTCAGAAATCCAAGTGGCCCGCAGCAAAAGGCACCAGCCTTGGCAAGACAGGAACACACTACAACAAGTGACACGGGCAACCATGGCAAACCAGGCAACATAGCAGAACCGAGAACCCCACCATTGCAAGAATCTGGCACAGTTGCCCTTACATCGCTAATTAAGCACCATCACCCTCACCCCGACGACCCCCACCACGACCACGACAACTGCCAACCACCACCGCCGCCACCACCACCACAGCCACCATCACAACCACACAATAACCGCACCACCACCACTACCACTGCCACCGCCACCGCCACCGCCGCCGCCGCCACCACCGCCACCGCCACCGCCGCCACGGCCACTGCCGCTGCCGCCACCGCCAGCACCATCACCGCCAGCACCACCAAGAACAACAACAACAACCGCCGTCACCACCACAACAACAATCATAGCAACAACGACAGTGACAGTGACGGGCAAGATGCCTCCGTGTGGTCGGTGTTCGAAAAAGGACGAAAACGGTCTTCTTCCGTATCTCATGCTTTGCACAGGGCCTCGACATAAGCCACGGGATGCGGGCACAGTGCGGGACGCTACTGTTTCAGTCTCGGTGTTCCTTGAGATGCCGCGCATGCAGCACTTGGGGGTGAAGGAGGCTATTACGAATACTGCTGCCGCTGAGGCTGCTGCTGCTCCTACTACTCCTGCTACTACCACTGCTGCTGCGGCTTCTGCCTCTGCCACTGCCGCGCCTACTCACTACTCCTACTCCTGCTGCTTCTGCGGCGACGACGGTTGTAACGACGACCGTGGCCTCCGCCTCCAGAATTACTGTCGCTGATACGAAGAACGACTGCCACGATGACAACCGCTAGCGAAAACACATCGTCAACACGATACAGTGTCCGGGCAGCCAGCACTTCCACTGCTCAATATGCTATGCCAGCTTGGCACATTCAAAGCCTGCTTTCTGTTCCATCCGGGTGTTGGGGGGGCGGGGCGTGGGGCGGGGCTCACACCTCGATGTCTTCGTTCCTTCTGGGCGTATTGATGGGCCTTTGCTGCAATCGGAGCGGATCTCGCCCGTAGTATCTGGAGCTACCATCGATACTTGGCCTAGTTCAGCTGTTCCGCGAAACTTGAGGCCTCAATTGAAAGATGCCACCATCATGTTCGGGATCCATGCAGTCCCATGTGTATGTGATGACAGGCTTCGGGATCTGCTTCGGAATACTGCATCAGCAAGTTTCACTTTGACATCACGGCAAATACAAAATGACTCCTCTGACCCCAGAACCGTTTCGATCCCTAGATGCTGTGAACCAGCCCCTTCGAAGCCTAACTCTTCTGAAGCCTACACTCCCGGTGAACCAACCACTCCCCCTTACATCTGCACACAAAAAACCGACCCCTCTCCTTTCACGGCTGGTGTATTCTACACATCGCATCATTCGTAGACCCCTGGGCACCAAGCACTTCAAACGGCTTGGGGTGGGGGCAAGCCCCCTGAGATGGTGCTCAGAGCACTTGCAGCCTTACGTTCGGGGAAGCTTGACCAGATCCAACACGAGTCTCCAGGCGAGATCGCAAGGGTTCGAGGCCTTCGGCTGGGAGTGTCCCTCGTCCACGATGCACAACCTTACATACAGGCAAGGGCGTCTTGCAGCTGTGCTCTGAGCTCCTCCTGAGGCCCTGGCTACCAAAATCACACCTGAGGCCTGCCAGTAGAAAGCATCGTGGTCCGTGGTCCCGCTTCTAAGTCAAAGGCTGAGCCTCGACGCCGCCAGGCCTTATGATGCAGTCAGCGTCACTGGCTGTCAGCGTGCCGTCATCGCTTCTGAGCGCCCTGCTCCGGGCCATGTCCCGGAAGCGGCGGCAGGCTGCGTGGGTCATTCCCAGCCTACGAAGGAAAACATCGCTATCGGACGACTATCGCCATATTGGCGAACTTTTGGCTCCGCTTCGACCGCTCCGTCCTGGTATTCACTCCATCGAAGAGGATGGCGACCTCTGACCCCACAGAGGCAGCAAACCCACTTCCGTTTGCGAAGCAGGATCCTCAGTGTGTCCCTGCATGATACCCCTACCGCACGAGCGCGCGGGGCCTCTGGTTCATTGGCGTAGGGGGCACAGTGCATGATCATTGATTGAACACCTTCATCAAGAACAGTTACAGGCATCCTGTCACTCTCCAAACCGGCGCACGGGCCTTCGCGGGTTGCTTCAAATCCAAACCTTCTTGATCAGACTTGAGTGGGGTGGTTTCCATGCAGTTACTGGAATGGGAAACCGGTGCCTGGGCAGGATCAGTCGCTGGACAGTTAAGGCCAGCTGGGCCCGACCTCTCCAACGTCTAGACGAGTCAGCTCAGGCGTCCCTGCCGTCCTTCCATCATTGTCAAAAGTCCAACCTGCCAGGTGGTAGAAGCCCTCTTCGGAGTCGGTAGCCTGGCAGGCGTAGAGGCCCAGCAGGAGCTCTTCTGAGCCCCAAGCAAGTCCTGTCCGGGCCTTGAGCTTGAGCGCCCTGATGGACTTCTGGAAGGCAGGATGGCTGAATGCTACGAGCTGGGCGCGAAGTAGCTGGATGACCTGACGCTGCATGCAACGCCAAGGACCAACTTCTCCAAGCAAGCATCTCTTCGATGAGCTCTCTGCGAAGTCTTTGCAATCCACGGAGAGGACTTAGCGCAATTCAAAAAGTGTGGATTCTACTCCTGAGACCATGCAAACGTGGACAACAGTGACCCTCTGATTGCTGGCCTTGCCGTCGGAAACTGTCGGAGAGGCGAGGACTGCAAACAAACATCACAACATCGGACAGACCAAGAGACAGAAGTACTAGATGCCAAAATGCGAGCAGTCACCACAACGGGTGTGACATTTGCCCTATTTTTCAAATGTCGCTCAGGGTGTAAGGGATAGCTAGTTTGAGTGCTGTTTAACAACCGTCGCACTCTGCCCGACGTTGAACCAAAACTGAGCACTACGACGAATTCCGCACTTCTTTTTCGTCGTGTGGTAGCAGCGCTGTAGCACGCCGTTCGGCGAAGCAACAGGCTGAAACGACGAGTCGGTGCCGGGGCGCATTCTGCACCCGGCCCGCTGTCGTTCGCCTTCCGCCGAAACGCGAAGGTAAAAATGGGCGGTGAGGGTGGGTAAAATCTTTGAACTCGTCGAGCCAGAGTGCTAGCGACGGCCGTCGTTAACGGTTGTTACTGCACACACACGTGTGTTTCACAACAACCGTCGCACTCTGCCCGACGTTGAACCAAAACTGAGCACTACGACGAATTCCGCACTTCTTTTTCGTCGTGTGGTAGCAGCGCTGTAGCACGCCGTTCGGCGAAGCAACAGGCTGAAACGACGAGTCGGTGCCGGGGCGCATTCTGCACCCGCCGTGCGCACCGACTCTCCACCCCGCGCCGGCTCAGACGTGGAAGCCGTTGGCCAGCTCCAGGAGGTGGTCCGCCGCCTCCGTCGTGGCATATTCGATGTCCTGCGCCGACCGGGCGAAGATGGAGAGTATCTCGTCGGTCGGCGTGGAGACCCTGTGCCATCCCTCGGCCGTCGCCCTGCTGAAGTCGTCTCTGGAGACTGCGTCGGCGACGTTGGCCTTGGAGGGAACTCGCTCAAACTCGACGAACCAACCTTGGTGCGCCGCAAGCGTCCAGAAGGCTGAAATCATGCCGTTCACCGCGGCGTCTTTCCCGTATCCCTTTGTAAGGGCTGCCTGTCCGGCGGTATTGTCGATGAAGGCGACGATGGCCGGCGGTAGACGGGCGCCGAAGGTGACGAAGGCGACGAGCTGGGCCAGCACTTCGAGCATGTAAATGTAGGCCTTCCTCGTCGAGAAGAGCTTGACGAACCATTCCGGCGCGACGCCGTGGTCGAAGAAGACCTGGTCGCCGATTCGTAGCACATAGCCCCATCCATTCGCCGCTTTCTTCGTCGGACGTACCCCCTGGGGTACGTGGCCGGCCTTGTGCCTGGTCTCCCCGTCGGTGAAGAAGGCGTCGGCGTACAGGATCGCGACCTCCATCTTCTTGGCGTCGAACGGGATGAATCTGGGGCGGATCGTCGGCAAGATCCTGGCCAAGGAACGTAGGGCCGCCGAGAGACCGTCGGATAGGGAGTCCGCCGTCCATGCCGCTGTGTCGGCCGCTCGGGCGTATATCGCTTTCGTCGCGGCCCTTGCGACGGATCCGAATGCCGCTTGTGTCAAGAATGACACTCGTCCGGCGAGCTTGGCAGCCTCGGCGGGTGACAGTGTATCCTGGTCGAGTGCCCGGCGGATCTGTTCCATGATCTTTTCTACCCGGACCGTCGTCGGTTTGAGGGTGACTCCCCGTGCGTCGACGTGAAACTCCACGCCCTGCACAATGTGGTTCTTCGCCGGGTGCTGTGCCTTCGACGCCTTGGTGAGGAAGCCCAGCGCCGAGAAGAGGTCCTGGAACGAGACCATCGCCGACTCGCCGAGGAGGGCGTCGTCGAGGCCGTTAAAGTCGTCCACGTAGTGACCCGTCGCCAGGAGCAGCAATCCCCTGAGCAGCTGCTGAAGTGCGTCGGCTCCCCTGTTAAAATTCCAGACGGACGCCGTGGCGCCGAAATTCATGGCAAGGTGGTACCAAAAGGTCACGCCGTGCTTGGTCGAGAGGAAGGTGCCGCACTCCGCCGGTCGTCGAACCGGCCACTGGCGGTAAGCGTTGAGCAGGTCGTTGCCAAAGACCACGACGTCGGGGGTGTCCTGAACCATGCGTCGTGCCAGGTCGACGAAGCTGCCGATGAAGTGGTGCGTCGGCACGTCGTCCACCGACACCGTGGCGTTATGCCCGCTGCGACGCCAGTCCTCGGCACGTCGTACCTTTAGGTCGCCTTTCTCGTCGGTCTGGCAGACTGGAAAGGATCCGGCCAAGAAGTGCTCGCCGGGCGGCGGTTCGACCAGGGTGTCCACCTCGATCTGGTCGGGCACCGCCGTGGCCTTGGTGTGGAGCCATGTCGGCGCTGTCGTTGGGCCGATGACTCTGCCCAGCTTCTTCTCGGCGATGAGCTCCTGGAGCAGCTGGTCGGCGAATTCACCGCCGTCGTGCTGGGAAACCTTGCGGCGGACGTACTCGGCGTTGGTCCGGCGGAAGGTGTCCATGTCCGTCGGGTGCTGGTAGCGTCCGTCGTCTCTTTTCCTCCATCCTGGTCCTGGCCGGATGTCGCCGATCATCTGGAAGCCCTCTGTCATGTCGTGTTCGAGGGCGTCGATGTCGGGGTAGTCGACGAGGCGGAGCAGCTGTATGAAGACAAGCACCTGCGTCGGGGCCGGCTTATCCGGCGTCGAGTACGTGGCTCTGACCCATGATGATCTGGCGGCGAGCCACTCCCTGGTCTCGTCGGCTGTGTCCTCGATCATGGTGCGGACCTCGTCGACAACTTCCCTTCGGATCCTGACCAGGTCGTGGCGCCAAGTTCGACGAATGACCAGGAGTCGTTCCCACGCCGGCTCCAGCGGGGCGTCGTCCGCCAGCGGGTGTGACATCGACCATGATGCAGTCCAGTGCGCCTGCTCGTCGAGGTCCTGGATGTCTGCCACTCCAGGCCGCGGCGGGGCTGGTGCCATGATCGGACCGCCGGGTCCCCACAACGACGCCACCCACTGTAGCGTTGATCGGCGAGGGGATCTTGGTACTGGGGTCGCCGTCGTCGGTGCCGTTGCCGTGAAGACCAACAGCGCCATGAGAAGACGTCGTGCGACTCCCCAATGCCAGCCGTTGCCGATGAGGCGATGTCGAGTGCGGTCGTCGAGTGCTCCGGCGGTGGATCTCGCCGTGTAGTCGGCCGGCATGTGGTGAAGCTGCTCTTTCACCTTCGGCGGCAGTAGGTGTAGTCGGTCATCATGGCGTCTCTGGCGTAGTGCCACGGCGCAAATTGCCGTCCGCCGGTGAGCCACCGCTGGTGGGTGTCCGACGTGATCTTCCCTCTCGTCGACCTTGGTGCCGCTCTGCCTCCCTCGTCGGCTGCTGGTGTCGTCGCACATGGTAGCCTGACCCTGCCACTGGCGACGGAGTCCGAGAACTTGAGGCCGTCGAGGTCGAAGTCGTCGGCTGCTGCCCTGGGAGAGTCCAGCCGCAGTCTGTTCCAGCGGCGGTGTAGAGCCCATGTCCAGTGTTCTCCCGTCGAGGGGTCGCGAGGCAGCTCCTCCCAGTCGATCGTCGACCACCAGAGGCGGGACCTCCCGATCCACCCGAAGTCGGCGGCGTCGGTGAGGATGGGTTCGCACTCCAGTGCCTTGGTGGCCGCCGCTGCGTCTGCCTGCGTCATCTCGACGTTTTCGACCAATTTCCCAAGCCGTCGAGGTGCGATCAGTGGTGTCAGCTCGGCGACGTACTCGGCCGTAAAGTTGAAGAGGTAGCCTCTATCACCGCCGTGACCCGCTCTGTCGCCGATTCTGGAGAAATCTTGGCACGGCGGAGCGGCGAGGAATAGGATGATGCACTGGGCGTCGGGGTCGACCGCTTCGATGTCCTTGGCCAGGGCCTTCGGCGTGTCCTCCGTGATGTCGCCGCGGCGCCGGACGTCGGGGATGTGGTAGTCAATCACCTGGATCGCCGCCCGGTCCACCTCCCATGAGAAGACCGCTCTGGGCTGGCCCACCAGGTCCCACACCAGCCACGGGCCTGCGCCGACACCGTCGAACGCCGACAGCACGATCACCTCGTCGCCTTTAGGTCGCCGGCCTGAGAGCTTCACTTTCTTGGTCGGTTGGTCGGGTACCCCGTCGTCAGCGGGGGCGCTCGACGGGGCCCCGTGCTGTCCCTAACGGCGGTTGCCGCGGCCTTGGCCGTTGCCGCGCCACGGGCGTTGGCCTTCTGACTGGCTGGACTGTCCGCCGTTGCCGCCGTGCCACCACTGTTGGTTCTTTCCGTCGGTCTTCTGCTGCCACCAGCCGGCGTTGGTGTCCTGCTCGTTCTTCTTGCCGCCGCCCTGGGATTGATCTTTGCCGCCGCGTCCGCGCCCTCGGCCACGGCCCCCTTGACGTCGTCGTTTGCGGCCACCGCGACCGCCGCCTCCGGTCCATGCCTGCTGGTCGTCGGCGTCCTCCTCCTGGCCGTTGGGGGCGTCGGTTCGGTCGGCGATCTCCTTCTCGGATCTCTTGGTCGGGTGCGGCGTGGATAGAAGGATCTCCTGCCACGTGGCCACGTCGTCCATGATCTCCTTGGTGGCCTCGCCGAAGGACTTGTTGTTCCTGAGTGCCATCGCCAGGTTCCACGACGTCCGCTGCCAGTATGCCTGGAGGGCTGCGACGTGGTTGGACTTATCCCTGGCGCGGGCGACGAACCAGTCGACATATGTCATGACGTCGGTCTCCTCGCCGATGCCCAGCAGGATCCATGCCCACCGGGCGGCGTTGGCTCCGTCGATAGTCGAGAAGAGGCCCTTGGGTACCCACTCCGTCGGCTCCTCCTGGAGCAGGAGGCCATGTTCCAGCCGCAGCGCCTTGGAGCTGGCGGCGGACGTCGACCTGGACAGCGCCAAAGGGTTCAAGGTCCGGGCCGCCGTCCAGGTGCGTCGTGACACGATCTCGCCGAGGGTAACCGGCGTATACATCTTGGAGGTGGTGTGCTCGAACCACATCCTGGCCAGCACCTCCTCGGCGCCAAGAAGCTCATGTGCTGGGAAGGTCCGCCGTTTCCCGTCGAGGCGCCGTTCCTCGTAGATGTTGACCTGCTGGTTCCACGCCGAGAAGGTCTTGGGAGGCCTGTCAGGAATAGCCGGCGTGGCCGTCGTTGGCGGCGCCGCCGCCGGCGCAGGCATGGCAGCCGGGGCTGGGACCGGCGACGACGCAGCTGCCGTCCATTGGCGTGTGGCCTCGACGAAGAGGTGGGTCATGATCGCCGTGGCCACATCGTCCTGCCCGTCCTCCACCTTGTGATCGGTGCCGTCGATGCGGGTGCCGGTGATGTACGGGTGGATGATGTGCGTCGTGAACCTCTCGACGTCCTTGGCGATCAGGGCCAATGTGGGCGTCGTGGTGATCTTCCGGGCCGTGATGTAGTTCTTGATGCTGTCGTTGGCGCCGGCCGCGGCGAGGAGGTCGTCCAGCTGCACCATCGAGGCCGCGACCGTCGGGAGTGCCATGGCAAACAACACCTACGGCGCCCTAAGTCGGTTTCCGTGCTCGATAGAAAAAGGGGGCTACGGGTGAGACATCCGTCGGTAAGTTCCGGGCGCGAGCCCTCGACGGTGATCTGATCTGGGCTGTGTGTGGTTTTCCTGGGTCGTCGTCCAGTTGGTGCCATAGCCGTCGGGGCCGCATACGGCTATTGCCGGCGACCCCTCGGCGGAAAATGGTGACGGCGATCCGTCGGTCAAGCCCGGCGTCGCTCAGTCGGAGTCCGACGTCGCTCCGCTAGTGGAGGACGAGGAGCTCGACGACGAGTCGATCGCCTCCGGTGCCTCAACGTCGACGGTTTCCGTCGGGAAGCACTTGCGGCATAAGGCCGGATCCGGCGGCAGCTCGGACAGGCGAAAGAACTGTCGCACGCCGTAAGGCCAGCCGCACTTGGCCTGCCAGTCCGACCTCTCTGTCGACGCTTCGTCGACCCCCGGCTTGTGCACCATCTTGGTGCGGCAGTTCATGACATACCGGGGCGCCGAGTCGCCGATCGCGTCGGCTACTGGCATCCTGGCGGGTTCTGGCACGAACTCCACGCCGGGCACCTCTGCCGCGAAGTCGACGTTGGGCACCATCTGCTGCGAGGCCGGCACCGCCGTATCGGCGTGCCCGGCTGCGTTCCCCGTCGGCAACAAGTCCAGGATGGCCGGCGGCGTCGGTGTCGCCAGGGGCTGGGCCGGCGTCGTTGTCGACGCACTCGGCGCTGCCAAGGCCTGGGCTGGAACGCCGGCTGCCACGGCGAGGGGTGCCTGTTGAACATACCGTTCGACGGCGGTGGAGGCCCATCGGCCGAGCAGCTGGATCACGGCGACCGGGACCCCCCTCATCGCCAGGACGGTCGCACCTGCCACTCTGGCGGCGTGGCCGCCGAAGATCAAGCGGCGCTTGCCCTGTTCGTCGAGGTACACCGTCTCGAAGCCGGCGGCGTCCAGCACCAGCCGAAACATCTCGGCTGACTCCGCCTTGGATCTCTGCACCGTCGGTCTGGTCGGAAACAGGAAGTCGGCCGGCGTCGCAGCCGCGGATGCCTGGATCCGCCGAAGGTGGCGGTGTGCGGCGCATCTTGGGCAAAGTGGGTGGGCCGTCGAAGTGCAAACGCACCGGAATGTGCGTCGTGTGAGATCGGCCTGCCCCCCCTGCGCCGTTTTGTGCAGGGGTATGTCGAGAGACACCGCCGACAAGGTCACCCCGAGGTCTCTGACCCGGGCCGCCGCGAGCTCCACCTCCCTCAGCATAAACCAAGTAGCGACGATAACAACATCGACGGCGTGAGCAACCAGGCCGGCGTTGAATGGCCCGAACGGTGCCGTGTCGTCGACCAACTTGGTGAGCTCGTCGAGGTCGAATGCCTGTTTGAGCCTGGACCCTGGCAGGCCCCTCGCCGCCGCCTTGGTCAAGGTCTTGACCACCCGTCGGAGTCCAGGGGTGACCGGCGTGTGGAGGGTGTTCTCCTGATGCCATACCACCGCGTCGAGGTACAGCCCAGTCGACCTGTAGCCGGCGATCCGCATGGCCCCGGCGATGGTGTGAAGCTTGTTGGCGTCGAGCGGGAAGAGGGGAAACTGGCCTCTGTCGGCCAGGGCGCTCACCGTCCTCACTCGCGACTCCATGGCCCGGCGGGTCGACGATGCCAGCAGATTGGCGTCGATGGCGGCTAGGGTGTCTTGGCGTCGCCCGGGGTCCATGGCCTCCAAAGCCGCCGTCAATGATGCCCGAGGTAGGGTCCTTCTGTTCGGTACGTCGTGCCTGGGTGGCCTGGCCGCCGTTGGTTCTGGCTGCGTCGGCGGCACCGGCGCAAGGATCTGTAGCAAGAGGCCCTCGGGCACGCCGTTCTCCAAAAGGACGGCGAAGGAGTCCCTCACGGCCGGCGTGTTGATCGCGCCGAACCTGGCCAAGGTAGCGATGTAGGCCGAACCGCCTGCCGAGGCGACGTCGCGAAAGAAGTCGGCGACAGTCGCGGAGGGTCCCGACGATGCGGCCTGTTGGTTCATGACCGGCGTCCTGAGTCGGGGGATGCAGGGGTTAGTGCCAGTCGGCGTCTCGAGCCAGAGCAGAAAAGGCTGCGGCGGAAGCAGAAATGGCAACGGCGACGACCGAAAACGAACGAAGAGAGAGAGAGAAGCCGACAGCGACGGCAGGCGCGACGGACGAGGCAAAAGGTGCACGGCTCTCTTTTTGTCGGGTGCGTCGGGCTCCGCCAAAAGGCACCGTGCGGCGTGACCGCCGAGATTAAGCAACTCTGGCAACGACGAAGTCGTCGAAAAAGTAAGTAGTACAGGGCGGCGGTGGGCTCTGATCCTGCCCCCGTCGCCGTCGACTGCCTCAGCGGTGCCGACCCGATGGCCGAAGCCGGGTGACAGGGGCACCCGCTGGCGTCGTAAAAGATCAATCCTGTGCGCCGACCATGCCGTGGCATGCGGCGCACTCGTGACCGATATGGTCACGGCCGTTGCCCTCCACGACGGGACGTAGACAGCGGCCTACTTGGAATCCTGGTTGTTTTATAAGTGGTTAACATAGTTATGTGGAGTTGTACCCTAGTTATTAAACTGTTATAAGTGAGTGTTAACCGTCTATTAAGTGATTACATGTTCCTATAATACTTATATCTTTTATGTTATGTTACTAAAGTTAATATTTTGTTAGATAAGTAACATAATTAACTTAACCTTTTATAAAAGTTAGGGTGAGTTACATGGAGTTATGGATGTTGAAATATAGGCTTTAAGAATACGAAATTCATACATGGAGATGTAATATTTCAATGACATGTATTCTGATTTGTGGTGCATAATTCGTCGAGTGCACTGAAGGTATAAGATAAGAAATCATGGGTTTTAGAATGGAATCGAAGTTTTTGCTGAATGTTATCATTGATTTTGAAGATTATAGTATGGACTGCCAGAGATATATGTTGTTTGCTTTTAGCAAATAATTTATCAGAGTTGTTGTTCGATTTTTTGTATTTGGCATTGCATGTGTGTGATCATGGGAGCCAGACGGCCATAGCAGTGTGCTCATGTCTTTGTATTGCATGGTATGTTTGCTGCAGCCACCCGGCCATAGCGAGTGCCAGCTACAGCTTTCCACGTCCACCATAGCTTCCAAGCATGGTGGAAATTCGTGCGGCCATCCAGATAAAGTACGAGTCGGAGAGGCCAATCCTCATCCCCAAGGATCTGGTGAAGCTGTCCAAGGACAAGCAGTGGCTCCAACTTCGGCCCACTTCCCAACCCATAATTGAGTTGCTCACAGGCCAGAGACCCGACAAGAATGCCAGTCTGTCGGGTTCTACGGCCATGGCCAATCTCATCAAGAAGAGGAACCAGAGCTTCGACCAACCAGCAACACCAGCAGAGCAACTTTTCGATGCTCCAGAGCCAGGCTCAGGAAAGAAGTCGACCAGAAAGAGGTCTCTTCCAGACAACCAAGAAGAAGAAGTTGCCATGGACATCAATGGTTCCAAAGTCACCTGCTTGATGAGTGGCAAGAGGCCAAGGAGGTGCGATCTCACCATCCAACTCGAACAGCACCAGATCGAGACCATCATCAAGACCATTCGCAATGATGAGGATACGGCCCAAGTCCTCGGCCAGGCCAAAAGAAGCTACAAGAAGAAAGCCAGGTAGTAGCCACGACCAGTCCAGGAGTGACTCTTCCAGACTCTGCCAGGCCTTCGCAGGAAAAGGCTTGCTGCAGAACAGTTTTGCAAGTGTCAAGTGTTGAAGGGATGCATACAGTTTTGTTTGCTTTATCGTCTGCCTGCAGCCAGTATAGGCCATCCATGCATATCCATGGTCGCAGAACCATGCCACTGTTGAACCCGACAGATATATATGCAGGTGGTTAGAATCCAGCAGTTCCAGACGAGCAGAAAGAAGTTGCCCGGCACAGCCACACTTGAATTCCAGATAGGATATACCAGACAAGGCCACAGCCGCACAGAAGCCAGAAGCCATGGCTGTCCCTCCAGCTGTGGTCCAAGAGGTGGAGGCCATTGTGAATGGCCGCGAGCCAGTGAACACCAGAGTCACCAAGGTCTTGCAGGTGCTGGAGCACCATGGCCTCTGCCAGCAGCAGACCTTGGTTCCAAGCCAAGTTCTTTGCCACCCCTCCAACCGGGGAGGGCAGATGGTGTCCCACTTTGACGTTTGGGCCAAGGGACACCAACTCTTGGCAGTTGGCCTGCAAGTGCATCTGCTCCAAGGGTCCATTTGTCTCCAGATGTCCACGGACCCCCAAAAGCGCCAGCAGCAGGTTTGGAGGAACCAGCAGCTGGTCCAGGAGAGCAAGGGCTCCCTGGCCCCAGTCAGTGGAGCAGAGGGCCACTCAGATGACACATAGAATTGGTTTCCTTTTCTCTATATATCCAATCCATTTACAATTTGCGGATAAATGTATATTGTAGACATACATTGGCCACTGAGGATACCTATCCCTTGCCAGCAGCCACACCACGGCATTCTTGAGATGCCTGGAGCATGGGACCACGGATCCCAGTGGCAAAGCCATCTCCGTGCCCAAGACAGACCCAGTCTGGTCCGCCATCCAGACCGGGTGGCGGTGGCATGTGGTGGCCTCCAGTGTGGAAGAAGCCATGCCAAGCCTTCCACAGTTCTTCCAAGTCGGAGCCAACTCTGGCAATGCCATTGGCAGAGCCACCAGCGAGTTGGAAGCAGCCTGCCAAATAGCCATTCAAGTGCAAATGGGAGCCAGTCTGGAGTCGGCAATCCAGTCCGTTGCCAGCGGCGAAGTTGCCTGCAGGCAGAGCCTCCCAGCCATAGGGCATTATGTCTCGAGATATTCTGGAGGCACAAGCTTTCCATTGCTGAAATTCCTTTCCCACTTCTCCTCCACCTACGGCACCACGTGCATGATGGGCCAGGATTTCATGGAGGCGTTGTCGCACACCACCTTCCCAGACCCTGGCAACCTTTACCCATTGCTCCGCACAGCTCTATGGGCAACCCAGTGCACATCCACCAAACAGCAAGACGGCTTCGCACAACTCCTCACCAGAGCCGACGTCCAGAGACTGTCGTCGCCACAGAACATGGAGTCCGTCAGGACGGCGGAGTCCATGCTTTCGGATTCCTGGAAACTGGTCCAGAGCCAGCTTCCAGAAGGCACCAGCACCAATGCCGGCAGCAACCATCTCTACAAGTGTTTCGGCAAGTTTTGCGTCAGAGCCATCTTGTTTCTGACCAAAAAGGAAAAGCTTGGCCCTGATGCCCAGCAGAAGCTGGAGTCCCTGGCCCAGATTCTCGACCTTTTCACCCAGGACGTTTCCAAGGTCAAGCAGGCCACCCCAGCTGCAGAGGCAAAGACCATCAAGGATGCAGTCTCTGCCCAGCCATGGGAAGCCACCTTGCTCCAGAACACCCACATCAAGGTGGGCGACCAGTGCCCATGATTGCACATAGGAGTTTTGCTGTTTTAATGTCTGTTCCCTCATAAGATTCTGCTGTAGATACATTCCATACACAAACCAAGGTACACCTTGCCAAAGGAGCACGGAGCCAAGGTCTACCAGCTCCTGCAAATCAGCAACGAGGGTGGGACCATGGAGCACAGGCCAGTGCTCCAGGCACCGGAGACAGTTTTTGTGCCGCTGGCGGGGCTGGGGAAGTGGCGGGTCTCCCGCCACTCCATGCCAGCCATCGGCCCAGCCGACATCATAACCAGGGGACTCCCATCCAGCCATGCCATGGCCCAGGAGGACTTCCAAAAGGCAGCTGTGGTCACGGCACTCCACCAATGCTACCAGGAGCAGTCGGTCGAGGACTTGGAACTCCTTTGCATGGCTTCCAGTCCCCAGGCACTGTATGCCAAGAAAGCCATTGCCAGCAAAAAGCTCAAGCTGGTTCCATTGGGTTCCATCAGCAAAGTGAAGACAGGCCAGAAGCCGCCCAAGCTGGCCATTCAGGCCTTCGGCCATGACTGGGCCATTGGAAGCTGGAAGCAGGACCTCCAGTTCCAGGCAGAGGGCACCATCGTGCCATTTTTCTGGTGCAGGACAGCAGAGGGCGAGGATGAGGGCAACATGGTCTTGACTACGATCAAGCAGGGGCCATGCACCGTGCCCATCCTCCATAACCCTGCGAAGATCCAAGCCAATGAGCAAATCTTGCAGAAGGTCGAGGAGGAAGCAGCCACGTCGGCTTCAGCCAAGAAAAAGCCCAGGAAGGGCTGACCCAGCCTCTATGGGCCATGCACATGGGATCCATCCTTGCACCATGCAGAGCTGCAGGAGTTTTGAGGGTTCCAAGTTTTGCAGAGCTGCAGGGACCAGGCTGTTGCGGCAAAAAGAAGCACCTTCTTGGATCCAGGTGACTTGAGCAAGCCTCCTGTGGCTGTCCCAGCACCGATTCTGCTTTCTAGCCTGCCACCATGGCTATACCATGTCTGTAATTGTCTGCTTGATCCAGCCACTTCTTCCCAAGAGCTTCCTCCGCCTGCACCATGCCCAAAGCCATGGTCTTCAAGAAGCCTGCTGCCCCCATGAAAGCCATGAAGGTGGTCCACAAGGCAGCTGCCCAGAGCAGGAAGGCGAAGGCCAAGAAGAAGCCAGCACCTGTGTGCAAGGCGAAAGCCCAGAAGAAGCCAGCAGCCAACTCCAAGACGACCGAGAAGCCAGATCTTCCGCCTCTAGAACCCTGGGAGTACGGTGGTGGGTGGGAGGAGTGGGAGATGATGTCGGCGGACCCCAACTACGAGCCATGGGGGGGCCAATGTGCTCTGCCCAAGGATTTCCATAGAAGGTACCGCACCAGTTGATGCAGACTTCCATGCACTCTGCTTGTTTGCGAGGAAAAGTACATGTAGCAGGACTCTCCTGGAGCAAGTGAGCCTTCAGGGGCCATGTCATGCTTGCTTTGTTATACTTCATGCCAAGTTCGACGAGTGCATGCACATCCCAGCCTGCATGGCCATGCCAGGGATTTGTCGTGATTGCTAAAGCCAAACATGGCCATCACAGGCCCAGGCTCTTCAAGACGGACCGCATATGTGAGGTCAATGCAGGCCACATGAACTCGCTGCACAGCAGCCAGAGTTGCAGGCCCAGAGCAGAAAATCCAGAGCTTTGTCCTGTTTCTATATACGAGGGACATGTAGCCACTGTGGCCATGCCAGGCAAGTTGCTGTGTTGTGCGAAAGCCAAGTGTACATAGGACCATGCCATGCCGTCACGTCTCAGCATTTTGGGTTTAGGGTCGGAAATAGAAGTGGAAATGCATAGTGCAGTTTGACCTTAAGAGACTCTAAACCCTGGACCCTAAACCCACAAGAATACATCCCAAAGCATAACCTCCCAAACCCGAGAGCTCGAAGCGCCATTTCTAAGCCAGGCCCTGAAGCAAAGCCAACACCATCCAAGTCCTCCAACCGCCAACTTTCTTCTAGAACCCCCAAGCTTCGTAGGGTGAAGCCAAGCCTTTGCAGGGAGCCAAGTGGCCATGCCAGACTGTTTGCACTTCCATTCTAGGGAGCCAAATGGCCATACCAGACTGTGTGCAGAGCCATGCAAGGCAGGTCCATGCTGCAGGAGCACAGCTTTTGCCAAAACACAGACCATTCGCAGCAACAGCAGCTGCCAAGCCACCAAGTATCTCCACGGCAGCATTGCTGAGGGTGCCATCAAGACCAAGAAGACCAAGAAGACCACGAAGGCTGCCGGAAACCCAAGCACAGCAGCTGTGCACCAGCGGCCAAAAAAAACGCCTCCAGTTTCGATTGCCTGAGCCGTTGTGGCCATGCCAGGCCATTGAGTTTGTTGTTTGAAAGCCAAGTGGCCAGGCATGCCATGGCACACATGTTCGTCTCTCTTTTTCGTTCCGCTGCAGCCTCCTTTGGCCATATAGCGAGCTGCCCACAGCTAGCCAAAGCCTCCACTCCAGTGCCGCCATGGTCAAAGGAGTCAAAAAGCCAGCGGCTGCCAAGGAGGCCACGAGGAGGACCAAGCCCAGGGCCAAGAAGCCGGCAGCAAAGCACGACTCCACGGACTCCACGGCCGTCTCTTCCAAGCCCGTCCAGCCTCCACCACAGGGGACAGTGACGGCCCTCCCAAGCAGTGCCATGGTTCCACCAGAGGAGCCCATCGGGCCACACGTAATGCTGCGGTGTGTGGTATGCCACCGCTCCACTATCTTTCTGTGGAAGCTCTACCACAATGCCAACTGCACCCAGTGTGATTCCCCATGGATCACCAGCTTGGCGGGAGGAGCAGGCCTCGTCTACAGGTGGTGAGGGGCCACCCACCACCAGCAACCAGGCACCATGGGCCACTTTCTTCCATGCCACCAGGGCCTTTCTCCAGACGGCCCAGGTCGGCCATGGCTGCAAAGGTATGGAGGCCATTGGTTTTTTTGAAGGACCCAGCCTGCACCATGCAGGCCAGCAGCAGCATCTCCAAGCCGTGCCAAAAAAAGGGTGCTTGAACTCCAGAAGCCTTCCATGGCCATACCAGCAGCAGGTTGTCACATGCCAAGCCACAAAGGCCATCACATGTGTTATTTTTTTGTCGGTTATATATTTATATCTGCACAGATGTATGCTTTTTTCTATATGTTCAGAAGACCATTTGGGTGAACATCCATGGAAGGACACATACATGTTTTGTACAGATATAGAGACATATATAGAAATGATTTGTCTGGAGTAACTTGTTTGTATATTACATTCTGATTGTAATGAAGATATCTTTGTAAGCCATGTATCATATACTCAGCACCAACAGAAACAGGCAGAAGAAGAACAGCAGCATGAGCAGTCACAACCAGAGCAAGCAGCAGCTGCACACTGGAAGACCAAGAAGGACAGCTGGCCACGGCCACAGCAGCAGCAACAGGGGCACCAAGCTTGAGACCAGCATCCATTCCGATAGGGGTCTATAAGCTTCATGGTTTAGGGTCTGAAATAGAAGTGGAGATCCATAGTGCCGGTTCACTTCAGTAGACCCCAAACCCCAGACCCCATATAAACCCAGAACGATGTACCCATGAACCCCAAAGCCGAAACCTGCGAAACCCGAGAGCTCCAAGCGCCATTCCTATGCCAGGCCCTGAAGCAAAAGCCACCAAATCCAACTCCTGAAACAGCCAACTTTCTGCAAGAACACCCAAGCTTCGTAGCAGCAAGCCAAGCCATTGTAGGGAGCCATGTGGCCATGCCAGACTGTTTGCACCACCATTGTAGGGAGCCAATTGGCCATACCACACCGTCCCTTTTGTCAGCCCAGGTAGGTATGTGACCACAGTTGTTGCCAGAATCTTTGCTCTTCGGAGCAGCCCAGAGTGCTCGAACCAGTGTAGGAAGCCACAGACAGAAGTTTTGTATGTCACCATACTGCCAAAGTAACAAATACAGTAGAATCAGAATCTGAATCTAATTCACAGATTCTGGCAATTAGATTCAAATTTTGAATCTAAGATTTTCCAAGATTCAGAATCTGAATCTTACTACCAGATATCCGCATTTAGATTCAAATTCTGAATCTAGGTATTTTACATACATAACAGCCACCATATAAACATCATCAAATATTTCCACATAAACTCAGTCGTCATCCAGAGTGCCAGCCATGGCCACGTCGCCGACGGAGGTGCCAACGAGCCCCAGCGACCACCCCACCGAGGTGCCCACAGTGGAGCTGGCCGAAGGCCCACCAGGGCAACCAACGGTCCAGATCCCCCTGCGAAGCCCATCCCCGGAGGCTGCCACCGAAGCCAGCCCCACACCGCCAGGAGCCCCGCCATCACCCGTCACACCTTTCGACGAGCAGACCACAGCCCAACCTCCGCCCAAACTCAAACCCCCCATGGCCCAACCCGTCCCCCCAATGCCATGGCCCTTCCACGTCCCAATCCCCAACCCATGCCCAATCCCCAACCCATGCACTGGCTATGCTCCGCCCAGGCCACTTGTGCCAGCACTGGCACAGCCATCCTTTCAGGCCACCGCCACACTGCCCATGGCATCCACAGCACCCATAGCACCATGCACCTGGCCAACACCAGCTCCCATGTGCATGCCTCTTCTCCCCACCACCAATCCACTCCTACCAAGGATCCCCTTCCACCCCCCCGCCACTTCGCCCGCAACATGGCCAATCCCCGCTTGCCATGCTGCCACCGCACCCACAGCACCCAAACCACCAGTCCAGTGTCCCGCCAGCAGTGGCCTCCCAGTGTCCTTTGCCCCACAGCAGCTTCAACCAACCGCCCAATACATCCAAACCATCCAGCCCAAAGCCCCTGTCAGTGGCCCAGACATGGGCCCCAAGCTGCCGTCCAAAGCGCCACCCACACACCAGCAGAGCCCCTCCCACACACTCCACCGCACCACAGCCATGACACCGCCACCAGGCAGCACCACACCCAACACACCGGCACCAGACGGCACCACACCCGGCACACCGCCGCCAGACGGCACCACACCCATCACACCGCCAGCAGGCAGCACCTTCATGCCACCCAAACCCAAGCTCAAATACCCACCCACCCGAAGGCCACAGACAGTGCATGAGGAGGTTCCAATAACACCACCCCCAGCCAAGTCCACCATTTCCACCCCTTTCAGCACCCCTCCAACCCCAATCCCACAACCCAAGACACCACCCACACCACCGCCGCCAACAACCCCACCAGTGGGAGGGATCGACCTGCTCCAACGAGCCCAAACCCCACCAAGATCACCGCCACAATCAGAGGCCAGGTCCAGCTCCAGTGCACCAAAAGCCAAACCTCTCATGCTGACACCAAAGTGGGCCATCCCACAACCCAAGACACCACCAGCAGAGCCAGTTCCGTGGAGCCAAGGCATTTCAGGAACCAGCCACAGCAAGACCAAGAGCACGGGCTGGAAACAAGGTTGGCTGGCTAGCCATCTTGCTCCACAACCAGAGATGGACCAGGGCCCAAGAGCTGGCCAGTGTTTTCATCCAAGAGGCCAACGAGCAAGTCGCCACCGGGGCAACCCAACTGGAGGCTGCCAGTGGTTCGCCAACATGGTGCCAGAAGTGCCTTTGGCTTTCCAGAGCCATTACCAGGGACGACCATGGACGAGCCCAGAGACAAATCCAGTGGCAGCTCGACCAGATATAGATTCCATAGTTTTCATTCTACAATAACAATAACAGCATGCAGCATAGGCTTGATCCGGAAACCTCCCAATCTTTTTTGTTGCCATTTAAGCCATTCAGTGGTAAAGCCTGCCAACCACTTGGCCCAAGGTACATGGGGGAGCCCAAGTTCGGGGCCTGGGTCCAGGACCAACTGGACCAGATGGAGAGATCTGGGGCCACCAGTCCAACGGCCATGCCAGATCGCTACAGAAGTCTCCAGTGACCACAAGGCCAGTGTGTCCATTCACAAAGATGACCCATGCAGTTTGCTCCTGCCAGGACCAAGGACGACCCTGGCTTCTTCCAGACAAACCACGTGAAACCACAGCTGCCACAGTGGTCGCTGCCAAAAAGAAAGCTTTCAGTGCTCTGCCATGATCTGCATGCAAGCCAATCGGCCATACCATGCTTTGCGAGCCATGTGGCCAGCACCCTATTTTTCGAAGCAGCCAACTGGCCATGAACACATATTTATACTATATATATATATATATCTCTCTCTGAACTTCATTTCAAGTCGCATTCCTTTGTGTTTGTTTCCCATGCTTTCTTCATTGCAGCCTTTTAGGCCATTCAACCCGACCAGGCCAGTGTGAGCAGCCAGTGCTTCTCAGGGCCATGCAGCGGTACGGGTGCCAAGACTTCCTCGAGGAGATTGCTCATCTCCAGAAGCTGGCCGAGATGCTGCCAGACTCACCAGTCACCGAGAGCATGGCCAACACCTTCATGGCTAAGATCCAGGGATTCCAGTCCTGGTCCTCGGAGAGCATCTGCCAAATGCTTGCCAAGGCCGGCGAAGCTTCCAAACTGCCAGAGGCCATGAAAGCAAAGATTCTGGACACCATCCAGAATTTGTCCATGAACACCGGCTCCCAGCTCAAGTTGGTGAACACTGGCCAGTCCGTCCAGCGGCTGTGTCCATACTTGACCAGGCCAGACTGGGTCGCTTTGTCCACCCTCACGAGCCAAACGGACCAGCTGGAGCTCTTAGCCAAAAGACTCCGAGCCATGGGACTGCATTCTTTAAAAGAATGCACCAAGGGCCAAGCGGTCGCCATTGTCTTGATGGTGCAAGCTTCGCAAGGCAAGCCAAGCCTTTCGGCAGCTGCCATCAACTCGGCAGTCCAGGACTTCGGAATCATCTTCCAGTCCCTGCCAAGCAGCAATTGCCCCGGCGCCAGCAGATATCCAGACCATCCATCAGAGATGGGCCAGCTTTGGCTCTCCAAGGCCTATGGTCCAGGCGACCAGCCAGATCTGCAGGACCCATGCCTGGCTCCATTTTTGAAGAAAGCCCCTTGGTTGCATAACTTGGATCTGTTCCGTGTTGCATTTGTTTCTTGCATGCATGTAGACATTTCTACGTCTTCGTCCCCGAGGTGCCTCTTCGAAGCACCCATGCTTCATTGGCCGGCGGCACCAGGTGCAGGTCCAAGCGGCCTCCAGCGACACCTCAGGGCTCCACCTTAAGCTTCGACCAGGAGCTGGAAATGCTGAAGCTGCGGCATGGCATCCAAGCCCAAGCAGCCACACAAGGCACAGCCACTCTGCAGGGAAGCCAAGGGCCCATGTGCACCGCCGCAGCAACAGCAGTGTTGCCTTGGCTGTCGCCGCGAAGCATGGTCCAGTCCCACAGCCAGAGTGCTGCCAGCACAACTGCCCCTGGCCAGGTCTTTGGCCAGAGCACAGCATCTGCCGCTGCTTTGCCACTTCCTCCGGCAAGCCCGCCTCCTGAAGCCACGACCAGAGTCGAAGCAGCTCCCACGGAGACGACTGCCAAGGAAGACAGTGCCAAGCAGGACACGTGTATATTTTTGTTTAGTTTCCTTCCATACTGCTTATTCGGGGTTGTTCTGCAGCATTTCACCCTGCAAGGACGCCAAGACATTGCAGGAGTACGAGCAGGAGCAGTTCCAGAAGCTGCTGGATGCCAAGGCCGACAAGAAGAAGAAGGCCAAGGAGGACGGCCAGGCCGACCAGAAGCCCAAGAAACAGCATATGAAGCGGCCAGCAGCAGCCATGTCTACCCGACAAAGCTCGGCGAACCAGGGCACCACCTGCAACGGCCATGAGGCTGGCAAAGGTGCCACCGCCGCCAAAGGCGGCAGCACAAAGATCCTCTACGGATGTATCCGCTGTCGTGGTAATGTTAAGGGATGCTCCAGTTGTTGGGACCCAAACTTTCGGGGCACCCGTCTCCACGGCCGCCAAGCTTGGAGGGAGTACATCGAGGCCCACAAAGCCAACAAGGCCATGAAGAAGGCTCCCAAGAAGTAGTGCCAGGCATGGTTCCAGGCAGTTTGTTTTCTTGCAGGGCAGCACCAAGGGGCCCAGGTGCAGGGTAGCAAGAAGCCACAACAGCCCAGGCAGGGTGCACCGTGCCGACACGAGCAAAAAGACCGCCTGCATGTCTTTGGACAAAGTGATTCTTTGAAGCCATGCCGTGGCCATCCTGCAGCATGCTGTTTCTGTGTATATATGCACTTCCGAGGTCTTTGTTGACGCACTGTGCCCGCCATCGCTTCAGCAACGAAGGTTCCAGACTTCTCCCACGAAGAGGTCCATGCATGTGAGTCTGACATCCACAGCCTATATAGACAGGGATGCAGCCTTCATCCATATAGCACACATACCATTGATTCCCATGTGAAGCAAAGCACATTGCCACTGCCCTTGCCCCCAAACCCACTCTCAGCCATTTTTGGCCATGGAACCTCCACAGAAGAAGAGCAAACTGCAGCAGCTGCTGACCTTCAAAGCTGCTTTGCCAGGTCACTCCCAAAGTGCACTGGCTGCTTTTGTGGAAGTCGCCAAGGAACAAGGCCTCCCAGAGAAGAGCTCTTCCAATGACCAGCGGAAAGCCAGGGAGGAGCTTCTACAGAGCTGCCATGGTGGGCTACTGGGTCCTTTGATCCAAGAAGCAGAGGTCACCACCGATGATGGTGCCAAAGTCACCATGTACTTTGCCAACCTCTTGGTTTACCTGGCCAGTCTTTTCCAGATGGGTGGAAGCTTCCATGATCTGATCCAAAGGAAGCACCGAGCCAACCCATCATCCGTCTCCAAGCCATGGCAACTTATACTTTATGCAGATGAGGTGATACCAGGAAACGTCTTAGGACCTGCCCAACGTAAATTTTGGGCCATTTATGCCAGCTTCAGGGAGATGGACCAATTCCTCCACCACGAGGACCTCTGGCTGACCATCTCTCTTGAAAGGTCCAACTTCGTGAGCCATGTCCAGGGCGGCATCTGCCAGATCATGTCCAAGATCTTGGAAACCATTTTCGCCAATGCCCACGTGGAACCATTGGCAGGGTTTGTGTTGAAATCCCCACATGGCCCAGGTTCCGATGTCCGGCTCCATTTCCGGTGGGCCATATGTCTGGCAGACGGCGGTGCCCATAAGCAGATTTGGTCTTCCAAAGGTGATTCTGGTACCAAATTTTGCATATTATGCGCCAACATCCACTCAGGACCACCCACAGGCGACAACGACGACATCATGGACCACCGCACGACCAAATACAGCCAATTGGTTTTGACCACTGATGAAGACGTCATCCAGTCCTACCGCAGATTAGACGAAAGGCGAGCCACGTGCAGGACCAAAGCAGAATTCTCGCAATGGCAACAAGCCACCGGTTGGACCTGGAATCCCCAGGCCTTGCTCCTGAACCAGACTTTGTTGGCGAAGAACCAAGTGAAGCCAGTCAGCCAGTTCTGCCATGACTGGATGCACGGCATTCTGCAAGGAACGGCCCCAGTCGTGCTGTTCCAGAGCTTCCAAGCCATCTCCGAGCACTACAACATTTGGGAGGCCATGGGCCCATACATAAGGATGTGGAACTTTCCAGGTGCTTCCAAGGCCGGTCACTTGGCTGGTTTGTTCGACACAAGCAAGGTCGCCAAGTACAAGAGCAGCCAGAAGTTCAGTTGCCAAGCTTCGGACCTCCTAGGGCTTTATCCAATCATTCGCCATTTTTTGCATTCTGTTGTTGTGTCAAGCGGAATCTGCCCAGAGGCTTGCCAAGCTTTCTTGAGCCAGGCCTGCTTGATCGACCAGGTTCACCAAGGGGTCATGTATGGAGCCACCACCAGAGCCAGCCTTCTCAGGGCTGCGGAAGAATCCATCGAGACCTTCCAACAGGCCAACTTCGACGTGCCACTGATGCGGAAGTGGCACTGGCTGCTCCACTTGCCTGATATTCTCCAACGGCATGGGTGCCTGCCATCGACATTTACGAGCGAACGAAAGCACAAAACCATATCTGCTTTCGCCACAAGGCTCCAGAAAACAGCCGCCTTCGAGATCCACTTGCTCAACCAGGTGCTCGCCACCGAGATCACCACTTTGACACAGGCCGGGCTGTTTCCAGACTCCTGCCAGTTGGTGAAGCCAAAGAAGCCCAACAAGCACCAGCTGCAATTCCTCAACCAGTTTGTGGATTGCTCAGCAACTGAAGCCATGGTTGCCTCTATCGCGAGGCTCGCAAGGGGTGGTGCCATCCATGCCAACGACGTCGTGGTGTTCCACCAGGAAGACGGAAGATGGGACATGGGCCAAGTGCTTTTCCATTTGGAGCTTGGAGGCGACAAAGCCACACTCGTCCAACGTTGGAGGCCAACAGAGACACAGAAGACAAAGCAGTTCGCCAAGTGCTCCATCACCAACGAGCAAGGCTTCGTGTCCATGGACTCCTTGCTGTACCCAATGGTGTACAGCAAGACCACAGAGAGGGAGGCCACTGTGCTGCTACCGTACCAGCTGTACCACAGGCTTTGAAAAACAGTGCTTCTCAATCCGCCACAAGGCTGTACCACATGCACATGACATTTTTAGCCATAGGCCATGCACGACAGCCTGTCCATGCAGGCCATTGACATGTATTTTTGCTTTAAATTTGTTTGACAAGCTACATGTTTTATATATTTCATTTCCGATACCAGTGTTTATGCTCCATGAAGTGTCTTCTCATATCAGAGTCCCTAGCCTAAACCTCAATGCCAAAACACACAAGTTACTTCTACAATTTTGATGTCTATAACATAAGCTAACTCCACCTAACTTTTTAGCTAACTAACATAACTATGTTAACCACTTATAAAACAACCAGGATTCCAAGTAGGCCCGGCGTGTCTAGGTCGTAAAGGTCGTCGAGATGAGGGCAATGCGGCGACGTGCAAGGGTGCGAGCACCAACCAAGCACACGTCGGCCGGCCTCCTGGCTTTGCCAAGGGATCCGGGCGCCGCGTGTGTTGGCGGGTAGCGTCGAGCAGAACCAGTATGCACAGTAGGTGGGCGCCGAGGTCGGCGGGGGCTTCGGCTTGTGCCCGTCGATGCCCTGCCTGTCCAGGTTCTCCTCGGCGATCACGTCGTTCAAGGTCCGCCTGAGCAAGTGCTTGACCGACTTCGGCGGGTCGTCGACGGCTCGGGCGCCTCGGCGATGCATGGCCCGCTTGTGCTGCCGATAGTCGTCGGTCATGTTGATCTCTATTTGGCGGATCCTCTCGTCGCTCAGGTGCTCGCGGAACCCCGCCGCCGTCTTGGACCTGGATCGTGCCCCCGTCGGTGTCGTCGTCCTGGGTGTGGTCGAAGGCCCGGCGTCCGTCGAGGAGCCGGCGGGCTGGTCTGCTGGCCTTGCGCCCGGCGGGAACATCCAATCCGGGCGCTCTGCCGCCACCGCCGGGGGGGTCGGCGCTCTCGTGGTGGATGCCCTCGGACTCGGCGGTGTGGACTGCCATGGCGTAGAAGCCGCCGAGAGCGGCGGGAAGCTGGACCTGGACGGAGGTGCGTCGACCACTGGAGGAGGCGGCGGCGGGTCCATGGTCGGCCGCCCGCCTCGTTGCGTCGATCTCCCTCTGGCTGCCGATGTCTGGCTCCCGGCCGTCGAGTGGGCGTCGTCGTCCTGTCGGGGGCCCACCTGCCGAAGCAGTGACGCGGCGATGTTGATGACTTCTTCGGCGCCCCCCCCGCCGATAGTCGAAGCCGGCGTCTGGATGCCAGTGGCGGCGGCCGGTCGTCGTGCCCCCTCTGGCGGGGCCCTCACCCGATGACCAGCCGCGTCGATGTAGTATGCCGGCGTGGCCGTGCCAGAGGGCATCGCCGACTGGGCTTCCATTGCGGCGAGACCCGGGAACCCCGTTATGGTCGGCGACGCCGTGGTCTCGGGCTCCCTCGCTTCCGTCGGGTCCAAGAAGGCCGCCGCAGTCCTGGTAGCCGACGTCGTGGGGGCGTCGAGGAAGACCGTGCCCGACACCTGGTCGTCGTCCCTTGCCGCTGTGGGTTGCGGCGGCTGCCAGTTTACCTGGTGTGCCCACGCCGTGGGCGGCGCCCCGACGTTCTGCTGCAGGATGGTCGCCGCCGATGAGCTCCCGGGACCCGTCGGTGGAGGCGGCGTAGTTGATGCCATAGTCGATGTCCTGGGACCCGTCGAGCTGGGCGTCATAGATCCATGTCCCGGCGTGGCAGAGGTGGTCGGCGGCGGCCTTGGAGCTGCTTTCACCATCACCGGCGTCCCCTCCGTCGTGGCCCGCTGCGGGAACAGCCTCCCCATGTAGATCCGGCGTTCCTCGTCGGTAGGCGGGGAAGTCGGTGGAACCACGGCCGTCACGGCGAGGAGCTCGGCGAGGGAGGTCCGGTCCTCCATGTCCAGGCTCGCCGCCAGCTCAGCCCAAGCGCCGAAGCCACCGTCGCGTCCCTTCCGGAGGACATTGCGAAGTTCTCGCACTGCGACGTGTACTCCGGCTTCTGGTGCGACCGTCGTCTGAGGCCGCTGCGGCGGTGCCTTTCTCGGCATCGGCTGCGCCGACGACGAAGCTGCCACGGGATTCGTCGACATGGCGTCGAGAGTGATGATCAGAAATCTAAAATCTTTGAACTCGTCGAGCCAGAGTGCTAGCGACGGCCGTCGTTAACGGTTGTTACTGCACACACACGTGTGTTTCACAGCAACACTTGGACGAAACGGTGGGCTGTGGGAACGGAAGAACTAAGGCGACAGTTTCATACCAGTCCGGTTCCAGAGCAGTCCGGGCCTGGATGGCTTAGTCTGGCCAAGTGCTTCCTTGATTGCAATCGAATTGACGTAGATGTCGGGATCCTGGAAGTTGTATTCTGAATCTGCCATGGCATAAAATGCGGCGTCAGGACCGGGCTTAAGGACACAAAGGCTCAACCTGCGATGCCGTCCTCTTTAAATTCCTCGAAAGCTGCAAGCATCTGCTCGACCTGTGCAGAATGATTATCAGCAGTCTTGGATCTTGGCTCCAATGGCACTTCAAAGTGAGTCTGTGGGTTTTGCTCCTGATTCACTGGCGTCGAAGCCATACCTGCCGGGATCTGCAAACTTTTCGGAACGTGAAATTGCAAGGAAAGCCACAGTCGAATGTGTGCCCACGGTCTGCAGTTCCTACGAGAAGGCCGGCCTTGGAATAACCTGGCTCTGCTCCTTTCGGACCAGCTTCCGGAATGCCTTTGCTGGGGAAGGTGTTCAAAGAACGCCCGAGGCGGTGGCTTCACACAGCCGGCGCCCAAGCCGCAAGCCGCACGATAGGAGGGATCCTTGTCCTGCGACGAAACACTTGGGCTATGCCTGGGCTATGCTCTCGAAGCACTTGAGGCCGCTGCGCCCGAAGATTCCTCAGATCAAGGCGTAGGAAACCGGAAGTTTCTGACGCCTTAAGCCGAGCTGAGGTTTCTGGCTCTTTCAAGCTCGTGGAACTTCTTCTGAAAGCGCGCGGCCTGAGCCATGATCCCATGGCTTTTTGCGAGTGCTGCTGACAGGAAGCTCAGCCCACGGCAGTGAAGGCTGCCAACAGCTCAGACCTCAACAAACCCTGCTTCCCACACAGCTAGCGGCACCTTCCATGAATACTCTTGAAGCAAGCTGGACTTCAATCTGAAACAATGAAGCCCACTTCCTTGCATCTGAGCCCTGGGCTGAAGAGCCAGGGCCTTTGCTCTGAACATCTGGTGCCAGCTTGCTGCCAGGGTGCACATCTCTCTTCTGATTCTGAGTTTGGCACCCGTGCTTTCGTCAGGGAGGGCGTGGGAACAGTAACCTCGTCAAGATTGAAGCAACCAGGCAAGGACTGGCCACCCCCGCAAATGATGTCCAACCGACAAAGTACGGCGACCGTGATTCATTGATGCTAAACCTGGACTACTGTCGGGACCAGCTGGACCTCGAAGACTCTAAGGGTGTCTTGGGACACCACCGCCGGCTTGCTTTGCTCCACACCTTTCGGTGGCAAGGCAATTCCACCGCGCCCTCTCATGCGCAACCTACTCGAGCCCTGCTCAAGAAAAGGCTTGGACCGACTGTTGGCAACTCCTGACATGCGTATGAGTTGGTGCGAGAATGTTGGGAAGCTGAGACATCGAGGAGACGATCCCTTCGCCCTGACCCTGCCTTCTGTGTCTCCGACACCTTCTTGCAGGGCCTTGTCACGGTCACATGTTGCTAGTTGCTAACGACCCGCCAACTCGGCTGCAAATGCAGGCGGCAAAGCGGTGAGCCATCTTTTGCTTGTGGCTTGGTTCGCCGGTCAAACTGGCCTTCCTGCAGTGCTTGCCTCGGCGAAAGGTCAAAGCAACGTGCGGTTATATAACTCCCGTGAAGGTGATCTTGCAGAACGAGGCTCTTAAGCTTGGACCGCTGGATCTTGCCGCTGGTAGTCTTCGGAAAGTCTTCGGCAGCAAGTGGCACAACATGACCTGACGGGGAATGTCAGAACCAGACATCAACCGTACCATCTGGGATGCTGAATCAAAGGGCCGCTCATTAAAACCCCCAAATATGCATGAAACCCTAGCAGGAGCCAGGCTCTGACTCTGCCCCAATGTTTCGAAGCTCAGAACAGCTCAGGGCCGAGCTAGGAGTCAATCCGATGTGTCGGACGAGCCTTGCCCGAATCTTCTTAATCACCTGACATGGGCTTGTCTGTTTGCAGATATGGTTTAGAGTTTAGGTCCGACTACCCTGTTTCGTCGCTCACACTCGCACAAGGTAGGCAAGGCCTACCCTGTTTTGGGTTTAGGGGCACCAGACGAGGGAAGGTCACAACACCATGGGATGCCTCCTCCACATCATCTTCGTCCAGTGAAGGCCGCGGTACAAAGAAAATTGCAAGCCCTGTTCACCAAACGGCAAGCACTGTGCAAACCAAGGTGGGCATGGACTTCCGATGTATGTCGTGCACATCAGGATCTGTTTATCTGTGTGTGCTGCCAAGATGGCCTTCGGTTCCTGACAGTGGATCGTGGGTGGAAACTGCGGCCGTGAAAGTGGGCAGCACATGCTCCATGGCATTCACGACGTCCTCCACCTGCAGGGCAGCAACCAATATGATGGCACCTGGCTGGTTGCGTTGGCAGCACGCCTCGTAACAGTAGAAGTTCGCCCCACGCACTATGATCATCTCCTTTTCTCTGCCTTATATCGTGTCTGGGGCAGAATGTGTCTTCGAGGGTACCAAAAGCAAGCACACGACATGAACACTGCACTGCTTCCAACCACTACGGTACACATCCATGCAGCAATGGGACCACTCAAATAGAGCTGCCCCTGCTTGATGAATCCGATATCGCCAGTGTTGAACCAATCACCTCCCACAAACGCCTCTTTGTTGGCCTCTGCGTTGTTCAAATACCCCGGTGTGATCACAGGACCTTCGGACAGGACCGAACAAAAGCTAGCAGTTAGTCCCAAGTTGTTTAGACCCCTCCTCGGATCTGAAAGCGGCCGATCTCTTCTTCAGGGAGGGTTTCGCCATTCTCATCGGCGATGCGGATTTCGATGCCCGGGACAGGTGGGCCGAGGTTCACGAAGGTTGGCCGGCCCAAACGGCTGGCGCCACACACCTGCGAGTAGCCACGTGCCCGCGGGACATGAACCATCAACACAATGGGGCAGGCCTCGTAGCGGTTGTTGTACGTCATGCAGGTGCAGGCCTCCAAGCGGCCAAGCGGGGCTGTGAAACAAGAGCTCTGAGAGTGCGAGTGCGCATGGAGAGCCTCAGCCATTCCAAAGGAGGGCTGCATCGCTGCGCGGCGCACGCCGAGGCGCTGGGTCTGCTCTAGGAAATCTTCACACACTGGAATCGTCACCTGCCTTAGTCAGGAATCCATAGTCCCGTGCATTACATCTCCTTGGCGGCGTAAGGCAGGGACTCCCCAGCATTCATCCAATACCGACAGCAGGAAAGGTCCATCTCAGCTTCCTTGTCCTGGCGCAGAGCATCTGCCACGAGCTTGAACCTGAGCTCTGGAAACCCCGTCGCATTCTCTTCGGACTTTGGTGGCCCCACATAGACAAGTGGCGCAAAGTTCGGCGCCCATGTCCGAGTGGCCCGGTGCGTCTGGACGAGCTGCAACCATCGGAGCGGCTGAGAGACGACCCAAGAAACCTCCAGTTCAGGCCCATCTCCGGTATCTTGCAGGCCAAACGAAACCTCTGTGTCTGTCTGTGCCGAGTGCCAACCTCCGCCTGCACCTCCCAGCAGCCATGATAGACGTCGCAGCAGTGGACCTTATCTGCCATTATGGCTCACAGCCGCGTGATGAGCCTGCAATGCTGCTGCTCAGCAACTGTGAGGATTGGCACCACGTGGTCCAAGGGCAGGAAATTCACGTGAATGTCATCCGGCCCGTAACTGCAGAATTGGGCTTCTGCTTGGACATGAGCCACAACACCTGACAGGCTGTCATTTTCTGCTTCAACGACCGAAACCCCAATCAGAATGCAAGTCACACAGTAGCCTCGGTGGGCAATCTGGATGCACTTTGGCACTCCAGTGGATCCACTGCTGAGCCTCTCCGCCACAGCAATGAGTAAGTAACCCTTTGCCAAAGCACGGCTGAGCTTCCCTCCACAGTTTGTGCTGCGAGGCACTGATAGAAAGCCACATCTCCAGGTGAAGGCGACCAGGACCAGGATGCAGCTTCTGCTCCCCTGGCATGCACAGTAGGCGCTTGCATCTCCTGACGCTAAGGATGGGGCGGCTCAGCATTCTGGACTAGCCTCAGCATCAGGGAGCTGCAGGTGGAGAGGTTTTTCGGTCACTTTCATCGGCGACTTCATGCTGCTGGTCATGCTTCAGTGATTCAGAAAAGCGACGTTTCCAAGGTCAGGAGAGGCACCTCCGTGACTGCCACGTCGGGCGTGGACAGATCCAGTTGTTTCAGCTTCTCCACATGAGATCCCACTGTAATGATGGGTGGTCGGTCCTGCATGGCTTCTCGAAGAGATGCTTTCTGATGGAGTCAATCTTGACTGCCACCAAGAGTAGGTTGAGTAGGTTCGCACATCCAAAACAGTGCTCATAAGAAACATGCGCTCAATGCACTTCAGCCGAATCCAAGGTCGGTCCAGCAGATGCCAAACGTTTCGGATCTTGCTGCATACAGCATGAGCACCGTCCGCGTAGTCCTGAGACAAGGAGATCCTTTCCTGTCACAACTCCAAAAGCCCAAAAAACGAGCAAATGACTTCAGAGGCCAAGCATCAGGCGGAATCGCAACCGTCACCGGACAAGTGCCCGAGAAGAGGGCTCCCCAGAAGCATGCGAAATGCTCAGGCATGCGCGGCACCTCAGAAACAAGTAGCAGAACAGCCATGCTACGAGCAATCCAGATGCATGACATGATAAAATGGGAAGAATGCTGATAATACAAAGTACAACAACAAAACCTCATGAAACAGCAGCAACAACAACAGCTACTATAACAACGATGCTAAAGTTTCAACCATAATACTAATACTGATCATGACGACAACTACCAATGGTAACACTAGTAAAGAGCAATAACAACAGCAATAAACATGTAACACTTCTAGTTAATGTGTGTTAATATTCGTTACTGTAATAACTGTACTAGTAATGAACACAACCATAATCACCACCATGAGCACAGTAATGCTAATACAAGTAGTACATAGTTCAATAGAAATAGAAATAGTAGCAGTAGTCGAAATGGCCAGGATGAAAATCATGAGAACAACAAATGAACAGAACAATGCTAGTATCTAATAACCACAAAGAATCATGTTTGGCTCCCGCTTACCACAAAGAATCATACTATCCATCGTAATATTCATTTCTAGTACAGTGCCAACTTTAACAATGCTTCCGGCCTGCAAGACGGCCGCTCCCCGATGCTCTGTTGGTGAGCTGGCCATGCTCGCCTTCCCTATCCTGAGGCTTGGGAGAACGGAGAAACGCAAAGAACCTGAAGGACGGGTTTCTGATTGCTACTCCTGCTGAACCCTGCCGTCCTGGACTGAACCAGGCCCGTGGCGACCAAGCGTGCGCGCTTCAGCAGATCGGCGAAAGTCAGCTCCTCCGTTTTCCCGGCCGTGTCGTACAAGATCAGGCCCTTATGGCCCTGCTTGGCAGCCGTCCTCACCCAGTCTTCGTTACGTCACATTCTGTCGTTATCGTTATGCTTCATCATGCTTCCTCATTCCTCTCTGTCCCGTGCAGCGCTTTGTGAGCAAGGTCCTCTCCAAGGCTTCCGTTAAGGTCTTCGGCGCATCCGCCGGGATGTTCAAGGGGCCTCCAGCGTGCTCCGAGGTCTTTTTGTGTCTGAGGCTTCTGAGCCTTTCTCGCGGCCTCCAGAGCTGAGAGCCGGCTTTGGTGTCGTTTGCGGCTTCGGGGCTTCGAGCGGGTCTTTGAGCCGAGTGAAGGAGGAGGCCAAAGGAACCAGGCCCTCAGCTTCAGCGAAGCTCTCTTGGGAGAAAGCCTCACGTTGCACCTGCCAGGCGCCAGGCCACCGCTTCTTTTGGCTGAAGCTCACTCTCTTCTTGGGCCTCTCTCTTCGGGCAGCAGGCCTTTGGATTTGCAAGGGCGGTCGGCTGGCTGAAGAGCAACACGCAGTACTCGGAGTCGAGGGCAGCCGATGGCTGGACTCCCTCGGGGAGAAGCTGATAGGAAGCAAGCTCCTGGAGTACGACAGACCCAGCCGATGTGTAAACTCCAGCGATGTGTCCTTACCATGCTCCACCGCCCACCAATTGCCCGCCAAGCCGAATCGAGGAAGACCGTCCTTCAAACGGTCAGTGCAGAGTTAACGGCTCAGCAAAGCCGCAGCAGCGGCCTTGGTGGTCTGGGCACCAGGGATGTCAATCACCAGCCAGGCCAACCAGGATTCGCGCAGGACAACGAGACAGAAAAGATCCTGCCCAGCCCACAGTCCCATAGTCTCACATTGGCCATATAGAAGCAGCTTGGAGCTGACGAGCTTGGGTACCTCGGGACCCCCACTGGGCTGCCAGGTCACCAAGGGCTGCTTCACCAGCCTTCGAGCTTGAACCACGTTTACCAGTGAAGTGCAAACGCCCAGCAACGAAGGCCCCGGCGCCTCCTCAGATGCGAGCGAAAATGTCAAAAAGTCTTTCGAAATGATGGCTCCAATATTCCAAGGCTCGGGTGGACAACTTTCCTGGGGATGCAAGTCTCCGATAGATGGTGATGTCACCACTAGGTGTGCCTCTCGGAAGCTCGGGCGTCGTGCACATGAAGGCCTTGCAAGCGGAAGCATTGCGGCCTCTCTCGCAGGTTGTGCCATGGCATCTTGCGCCGCTGGTTTTGATTCACTACTAGCTAGGAGACCCTAATGCTTCAGAATGCACCTGAGGCCTAAAGAAGCATAGCTCAAGACTTCTTCCACAGCGTCCCAGGAATCCTGTGTGCCGTGGCTGAGTCCTGTGATGATGGTTTGGGAGTGCCATTTTGTCAGCATGTTGTGTGCCTACTACAAGCTGAGGATGGCTGCGACATGTTTCGCCAAGTGCTGCATCAATTCAAAGTCAGCTACTCCACAATCTTCGGGGCCCTGTCGTTGACTCTGCAATCTCATCCTCGGTGGGGACAGCCTCCTTGATCGAGAAGACTTGAGCTCAATGCAGGCCTTGCTCGCCCTGCTCGGCCTTCTCACTCACCTTGCGCTCGAAAACTTCAACGGCTGCTGCCTCTGGCCTGAGCGACCAAGTGACTGGGCGCAAGTCGCATGCGGCACCAGTAGGGCTCCAACACTTCACTGCTCTTTGCAGCCTGACGGGGCTTGAGGTGCAGCATGCCGATGCAAGAACTACATAACAAGAGGGCTGCGATGCTGCAAGTTCTCATCTTGCTGTGTGAGATTCGAGTTCGACGAACACTCCTGAAGCTGCTGCTCATAGCGCCGATGATCACGATTTTTGGAAGGTGGTAGTTGATTCAGAAGTTTTCAGGTGATGTCTCGAAGTCAGCGGCCCCGGGCTCGTTTCTCTGACTGCAAATGCATCCTCTGGTCCAATCGATGTGCCTTGCCGCTAATGCCGGGTTTGCTCCGAATGGTGGCAGCTCTTCAGTCCATGCGGCAGAACCAGCTGTTCTAACTTTTCTTTCCCTCTCGCAGTGCTAACTTTTCTTTGTCTTCTTGGCTTTGGAAGACTTGGGTGCTGCCACTGACCCCAACAGCCGCACCAGCCCAGCAAAGAGCACCTGAGCTGCATGACGCTGCAAGGTTGCAGGCATTAGTTGCCCTTCGCACGGCCAGGATCAGTCTTGAAACTTCAGTCAAGCAACGAACACAAGTGCGAGCATGAGAAATCCGATTATGAAAGAGCCACGACCCAGAGAGGCGGGCGCTACTTCTGTAGAACCATCCTCGCAGCATTCAGTCTGCGCCCGGCGATGCAAAACGAAAGTCCAGAGAATGATTGGCAAGGCTAGGAAGGCTATGCAATGCCGAAGGCAGGAAGTCCTGCGAGACATCGGTCTCTGTCTCAAGTTCCATCTGAGTTTCTCGGAGGGCTTCCTCCAGTGCCTGGTACTGTGCCTGCTTCTCTTTGGCGGATGCCACGGACAGGATATCCTTGGCTAGCTCCTCCTCGTACTCCTGAGGGCCAGGGGCAAGGGTAGCGACACACTTGGCGATCTACTGCGAGGGTCCTGGACGGCAAGCAAGTGGCCCTTCTGCACCATGTAGCTGGGAAGATGTTCTCCCTCGATCGTCCAAACATCAGCCACCAGAACGTCGCTGGCATCTTCTGTCCTGCATGGTACAGGTCTACACAGCAATGCTTCAACTAATTATCAGTATCTCTCTCTCTCTCTCTCTCTCTCTCTCTCTCTCTCTGCCGTATGCAGTCAAGCTTTTTGTGGCAAGACTGTCAAAGCTCAGTGTCAGAGCAGACGGGTTACCTGTGTACGCGAATGGCATCCGACATAGCCTGCCGTGAAAAGGTGAAACAAAAACGTGCAGAGACTAGACGGTGCATGGAGTAGCTGGTGAGACTACGTAAGAATATGAAGGAGACACGGAGACACATCAGCCAAAAGAGGCAATATCTTGGGAAGTTTGGGCACCCTACATCGTTACGTGAACCCCTCGGCCATACGCATCAACACCGCAAGTTCGTTCCTTCGCCAAAACCATTGTTTGACTGGGACAGGGGACAAGCATGCGCTCATGACAACAGAACACGTGCGAATACGTGATAGCCGTGCCACCCAGGAGCATGCTTCATGAGCATTGTTCGGTGATGATCTCCTCTGCCCACCAAACTTCGTGTCGATGGATACGCGATCTCAGCAGCACACGTGCTGCTCGGACCTACCTAAGGGCATGCATCATGAGCATCAGCCAGGTGATGCTTTCCCATCCAATTCATCTGGGCCCTTGCACCTGCAAAAGCTTCTTTTTTTTTTTTTTTGCTTCGGGGCTCCGTTGGGTTTGCCCGCAAAAGCTTTACCCACCACGATGGCATCAAGGGGATCATCTGTACATGCTGCTCGAGCCAACCATGCCCAGATAGTTGCACGTGCTGTGCCTAAGAGCACGCATCATGAGCATTTATCTGGTTGAGCATCGTCCGCGTGTTGCATTCCCCCTTCGACTCTTGTTCCATGCCTTGTCGTTTATGTGCAACGCAGGATCGCCAAATTGCTCTCATGCGCTCAACGAGGAGCACGCATCCTTCGCATCATAGGGATTTTTAGTTTCCCTCGTCCGATTCCTTTGTGCCCTTCCGAATTCGCCAGCTAGAGATCGCAAAACTACTCGTGGCTATGTTCTGCTCAGGCTCAACCAGGAGCAGGCAGCAAGACTGTAAAACGGGTGACTTCATTGCCCTCGTGATGCACACAAAGGCACAGCATCATCCGCGTGATGTTTTCCCCTCCGATTCGTCTGGCCCTCCCAGCGTGCATAACAGTTAGCGCGCACGCATCATGAGCATCATCCGTGTGATGTTGCCTTGGCCATTCCGACCACCAAATTCCTTTCAACGTAACACGAGTACGTGCTGCCCGTTCTCCTGCCGCTTAGATCACAAAGCCCGCACCCTCCGGATCCCTCCGGCCCGTCCGGGCGGACGCATCATGAGCATTCTCTGCGTGCTTCTTTCCCCATTCTATCTGTCTGGGCCCTTCAACTGCAACAGAATTCCTGCCGCTGAAATTACGAAGCCCACACCCTCCACATCATCCGCGTGCTACTTTGCTTATTTCATCTGTCTGCAGTGATATTCCTGCTGCTGAGATCACAAAGCCCATGCCCTCCGGCCCGCCCTGGCGGACGCATCATGAGCATCATCCGCGTGCTACTTTCCCGTCCTATCTGTCTGGGCCCTTAGATCACAATCAAAGCCCGCACGTTTCGGCCCGCCCCATGAGCATCATCCGCGTGCTACTTGCCCCATTCTATCTGTCTGCTTTAATAGAATTCTTGCCGCTGAGATCACAAAGCCCGCACCCTCCGGCCCGCCCGGGCGGACGCATCATGAGCATCATCCGCGTGCTACTTTCCCCATTCTATCTGTCTGGCCCTTCAACTTTAATAGAATTCTTGTCGCTGAAATTACAAAGCCCGCACCCTCCGGCCCGCCCCGGCGGACGCATCACGAGCATCATCCGCGTGCTACTTTCCCCATTCTATCTGTCTGGCCCTTCAACTTTAATAGAATTCTTGTCGCTGAAATTACAAAGCCCGCACCCTCCGGCCCGCCCCGGCGGACGCATCATGAGCATCATCCGCGTGCTACTTTCCCCATTCTATCTGTCTGGCCCTTCAACTGTAATAGAATTCTTGTCGCTGAAAACACAAAGCCCGCACCCTCCGGCCCGCCCCGGCGGACCCATCATGAGCATCATCCGCGTGCTACTTTCCCCATTCTATCTGTCTGGCCCTTCAACTTTAATAGAATTCTTGTCGCTGAAATTACAAAGCCCGCACCCTCCGGCCCGCCCCGGCGGACGCATCATGAGCATCATCCGCGTGCTACTTTCCCCATTCTATCTGTCTGGCCCTTCAACTTTAATAGAATTCTTGTCGCTGAAATCACAAAGCCCACACCCTCCGGCCCGCCCCGGCGGACCCATCATGAGCATCATCCGCGTGCTACTTTCCCCATTCTATCTGTCTGGCCCTTCAACTTTAATAGAATTCTTGTCGCTGAAATTACAAAGCCCGCACCCTCCGGCCCGCCCCGGCGGACGCATCATGAGCATCATCCGCGTGCTACTTTCCCCATTCTATCTGTCTGGCCCTTCAACTTTAATAGAATTCTTGTCGCTGAAATCACAAAGCCCACACCCTCCGGCCCGCCCTGGCGGACGCATCATGAGCATCATCCGCGTGCTACTTTCCCCATTCTATCTGTCTGGCCCTTCAACTTTAATAGAATTCTTGTCGCTGAAATCACAAAGCCCACACCCTCCGGCCCGCCCCGGCGGACGCATCATGAGCATCATCCGCGTGCTGCTTTCCCCATCCTATCCGTCTATGCTCTTCAACTGCTGTACAATTCCTGCCACTGAGATCAGAAAGCCCACGCCCAGGCCCGCCCCCACGCCCGGGCACGAATCATGAACATCATCCGGGCAAGGCTTTGCAATTACGTGGATAGGTGTTTGGGCCACCCACGCCATCTCTTCGTAACTTGGACTGTCAGCGAATCGGATCACAATAACCCACAGCCAATGCTGCTCAGGGGCGAACAGGAGCACGCATCAGGAGTGTCATCCGTGTGCTGGTTGTCTCATCCGAACTTTCGTAGCGTAGCGTGCATCGTGAACACCATCGCGTTTGTGTAGGAGTTTGGTGCAGCATTTCACCTACAGCGAGGTGCTCCTGCCCATTATTGCAAAGGCTTCGTGCACTCTGCGTGCACGAATGCATGTGTGTCTTTGAGCGTGTGTGAGCACACCCGGACATAATGAACCCTGCGGGGCGCGAATTTTCTGAATGAATTTCATGCTTTTCGCTTCGGATGTAAGGTTGTTTCCGTGGTTGTAAATAGCCATGATAACTTGAAGGTTTCTCTGTTTCGGAGCAGTGCGAAGTGCAGGGTTTCTGCATACCAAACCAAGTGCTTCTGGGTATGTCGTTGTGTGCCGCAAACGCCATGCCTGCCGATGTTCTGCATGTTTTCGAATTTTTTCGGGAAACACCGAGATTTACGCGTTTTTCCATGTACAAAAGAACGTCGATACACATCTCGCCAGAGAGCGGGCCATGCAGCTTTCCCAGAAGGCGGAAATGCTTGAACTCTGATTCGGCAACTCTGTGTTCGAGAGGTTTCTAACTTTATGTTCGAACCGAGAGTTCCAAATCACGGCTGTGTTCAAGGTTCGAATGAGTTTGCAATCCAGATTGGGGGTCCACCTTTGAGAAGCCCAGAACCGAAGGTCGGAACTGTTGAGTTTGAGATGCAGGGTTGACAAGTTGCGAACCAATCATACATGCACATCTCAAGTATTACATGATTGGCCAAGGGGTTTTGCACCACTCATTGGCATCATAGTCCAGCAGTTGAGAAAGTGTGAAAAAATCAGCTCCGCATTCACCGTGACATTATGGACCACAAAGGGAGCATGTTGGGGAAAAACATGGCGTGTCGCATGAAATTCGTATTCCCTTAGTATCTTTTATTGAGCTTTATTGACTTCATAGTTAGGCAATGTAGGAAGTCTGCACAATGCAGCTCCTCGTTTTCGCATGCATAGGCCCCCACGTGAGTACATTAGGAGAAAACAGATATGTTGTTGCTAAAGCAAGGCCCCAAAACGGAAACTGAATTGCCAAAACTTTGTTTGAAGGGTAGCCTTGAGATCAGACAGCCCAAGTAAAATCATCATCGTCCCGTACCAAGACGTCATCATCCCCCACCCTCGCCCACCCACACGACCTCCCGGAGGGAAAAAGGAATGTGGTATGCCACAGGGTTCCAGTCTCGTGCACAACAGCACATTCACCGGAGAGTTTTCGGGCTGGTCGGCATAAACATCTATGCATGGTACACATCCATGCATGCAAGAACTGGTTCCCACATCTGAATGCTCGTTCAAACATACTCGGAAGCATGTACACATGCACATGTGTGCAGAGAGAGACAGTGTAGATAGCGGGTCCACAGGCACACACGAGCTTCCGGAACCCGAGCACCGCACACCGGGCGTCCTCTGCACGCTGGATGGAGCTGCCTGGCGTGAAGAGCAGACAGCAGTTCTAGGTTGCAAAGGCGTGGCTCGGCAGCTCCCAATGCCTTCCACCAGATCATTGATTTGAGGACCTTCTCCTCCAAGGCCGACTTGGCGGCCGAGCGCGCCTCCGGAGCTTTTGGGTGCACTTTGCTTCTGCAAGCTGTCGTTGAAGCCTTTCGAATCACCCTGCCCTCACCTCCTCCGCTTGCCGTGGCGCTGTGTTGCCCAACCTGAGCAGACTCTTGCCTGCAGTAGAGCTCCGGATGTCCAGCAGGTTGGCGTCCACAACCCTTCCGACCATGGCCACGGTCAGCTGCTCCAGCACAGCAGAGCTCTCGCTCTCGCCATCTTCCGCAGCCACGCCGACCAAAATCCCGACTGTCCCGAGGCACCAAGCCAGCAGCCAAGACCAGGCCATGTCGGGAAGATCACATGTTAGATGCCCATGACATGCGATATCACAACGTTTGAGTCTTTTGGTGAATGTTACACTCTGCATGAAGATATGGAAAGGCAACCGAGGCAAGGGCTGCTGTTGATTGCTCAAACAACAGCTGGGAGGCAGAAAAAAAGCCAGGCAGCCCTTCTACAACAGGCACCACTTGCTGCTCGCAGTCGCCATTCAGGCCTCCTCCTTCGTTGCACTGTCTGCTTCCTGGCAACACAGTGTGCGAGCGACTCTGCGTCTGAAATACGTGCAGAACTCAAGATCTTCAATCGTCCGAGCGTCCTTCCTCTCCTTGTTCAGGCGAAGGGTGAGCCAGATGGAATCCACCTCAGAACGGACCGCTTGCAAAGGCGACCTCAGAATGCAAAGCTTGATCGCCAGCCTGGTCGCCCAGCTGTGGATAGGTCTTCTGCCTCGGGGGGGCTGCTTGGGAATCTAGGATCGCAACACATATCTCAAGTGCCGCCTTCCTAGCATAGAAGGCTCAGGATGCAGCAGCGACGACAGCACCATGGAAAAGGGCGTTGAGAGGAGACCTTTGCCGTAAGCTGAACTAAGTCGCGGAGTGGTTAGGGATCACGAGCTCAGGCTAGGACCGTATCGCTGAAAGACCTATGTGACCCAAACATCTCAAATCAACTTTCAGATCCCGGAAGGCCAAGACGCCGATGCAACCGTAGGCCTCGCACATCCACGTAGACTCGCTTTATCAAGCTGGGCAGGCCCGGTACGTCTTCAGGCTCCTGGGACTGGACTCATGGACAGTGGGAATGTCATCATGATCTTCGTTTAAAAGTTGGGGTCCTTTGGGCTTCCGCAGTCGTTCTTCTCGAAGAGCTGTTGCACCCTGCGTTGGAAGATGCTGGCCTCGGCGAAAAGGGAGGAACTATAGGTACCTCCCATGACGAGCAGGACTGCCGGCGTGTCAGAACTAGGCTTCCCACCTTGAAGCCTGAAAGAACTGGTCAGATGTGAGTGGGGTTCGAGAAAGGAGAAAAGGGTAAAAACACCAAAGCTAAAATCTTCTTTACTGCATTCGCCCAGGCCTTGCAGCAGTTCTGTGAGCAAAGCTCCTGCTCGTGCCTTCACACATCGCAGAATCTTCGTGGACATGGTTAGCTTCTGTGGCACAACACCAGGACATTCGACAAGGATCCCTCGACTTACACCGCTTACGCCTCGGAGATTTGCGGCATCAAAGTGTCTGCCTGAGGACCGCACCCTATCCTCTGTGCTTCGGCGCAGAATCTGTACTTCGCACTGAGACTCCGGCGGCTGAGGGAGTGCCCATGATTGGGGAGAGATGCACCCTGTGCGACCAACCTCGTCACAGGAGTGGGAAGCAGGACTGCGGCCCCGTTTGTGCAGTCTGCCACGATGCAAAAGCTCCAAAGTTCGTGGCTGTTCGGTAGGCTCTGCAAGTCAGGATGTGCACCGTCGCTGTGACCCGAAAGGTGGCAGAGACAGCTTGGAGCTTGTGCTATGCGAAGCTTCCATCGACTGCGCTCATGATAACTGCACACTTCCGACGGCTGCAACTTCTAGTGCCTCGCGGGCTTCGTCAGTTTTGACTTGATGTCGCGGTGCCAGATCAGCGCAAGATATTGACGCTTCGGCCAGTATACAACGCTGTGCAAGAGCAAGCTTCGACTGGTGCCTCGTGAATCAAGTTGTTGATTAGGGGCTTGGTGCATCTTGGTACTGGGTGCAGGGTCCCCTTGCACGCTACAATACGAACTTGCGCCGAGTCCTGCTTCCGTCACGGAAGTCGTTTTCACACCGTTCTGTGCAGAGGTGCTTCGCATCCCTCGAACCACACAACACCTACAGCGTGCAGGCCTTTGTGAATTTACAGACTTAGTGCTCAGGCCGTCGCACGCAAAACTTGCATAAATTAAACTGGACAAGACCCTACACCAAGCTCGTTTGTACTGTGCCCATATCTCTTTGCCAAGCCCCACTGGACAACAAGGCTCTTGCCAAGCTCGCCTCTGCCTTACGAGTGGACAATGTTCAGCGATCATCCACCCCAAACCGGCACACGTGCAATGCCACATCCAAGGTGCGATGAACTGCTCGACGATCATTTCCTGAGCAGCTACATCCGTGTCATAGTCCACCAGCACCTGCACCATGTAGTCGTGAAATGCCCGGAAGCCAACACCCCTGCCAAGGGGATCCAGTCGCTGTCCTCCGATTCGTTTCGAGACCAAAGCGACGCGTGGACAGCTGCAATGCGAATCAAATCAATGCAGCAACTTCGCCTCTTTAGACAGTGGTGCCGGTACAATCAAGCTAACCTCTGCCATGCGGCGGAAGAGGGTCTGATACTTCTTGTGCAACATGTCACGGTCAATCTCGCGACCTCGACCACTCAAGGCATCAAGAAGGCTCCTGATCTGACGCGCTACAAGCCTGCAGGTTACAAAAGCTAAGCCGAGAGCCATAGTGCAATGTGGCGATAACAATATTCAAGTCTATAAGCTCCGACTCCTCCCCACATTGCGGCCAGTGCATGCTTGTGTTTCAAGCTGCACGGCAGCGCACTCTCAAATCCAAGAGCATCTCCTCCAACAGTCCGTTCGAGTCCAGGTCCTGCAGGTTGAACCTTACCCAAGGCCCACGCCGCTCTTGGTTTCGGTTGTTGGCTTCTGACTTCTTGAGTCATCTGCTGCCAAGAAGCAGTTCTTGGAGCAGTGGCGTGAGCGGGTGCTTGAAAAAGCGGTGTTGGAAGTCTTCATTGTCCGTCTGCTCCCTGCTCACAGTGCAGGCTGTGCACCATCCGCCTAACACAGCCTCGGCAGTTGGCAGCCACAGCTACAGCAAGAAACCCAGAGTCTCAGAGCGAAGGGCACGAAACTATCTGCCACACCAAGCAGCGGGTGGACTTCTCTGCATCTTCTGCGTGAAGCAGACAGTTCTTGAGTCGACACGCGTTGGTGCCGCTCCCATACTGAAACTACGTGACTTCGTCTAAGTTTCGGGAACCTCTGGTTGAAACGGGCTACAGAAAGGCAAGGCTCGGCAAGGCGCGGAGGTTCAGCCACAGCTACCGTGGTTTTTTTACATTTGCAGAACTTTTTTCGTCCAATCTTGCGCTGGCTGAGATCTTTTTGTGTGACTACGGGTGATCTCACGGGTGCCAAGGCCCACGCTTCAAAGTCACCCTCCCTTGGGAGCTACCCTGGCCCCTGGCGGCTTCGGCATGGCCGAAGCGCCAAAAGTGAAACATCCGTTCTTGCCAGTCTTGCCCCAGTCCGGCGAACGGTCGTAAACCAAACTCTTAAGCAGCAACAGCCCCTTAAGCCTTTACGGTATAAATCAGTCTTGCTATCCTGATTGGCTGGCAACTTTAGACGTATCGGCGCTTGCACGAGTTACCAAACACAAGCTTTTGTTGCTACCACAGTCTCGTCATCGGCCTGGCGTGTGCACCATGCTGCGACCGACTCTGGCCATCCGAGATGAGTGCTCACTGCGGGCTCTGCCGCGGCTCTTGTCGCGATATACACCGACGGAATTCTTGTCCAGCCTGGCTTTCATCAATGTATCATACATAAACGTCCAACCCAACAGCTGCCGGACAACAGTTTGCATATTACTTTCTGCATCTGCTCTTCTTTCTCACACTTAGTGTTTGTCAGATTGCAAGTTACCACATGTTCATTCTGCATCCGAGCACATGATGTCACACAGCTTCAACTGCACGCATGCACGCACGCGTACTGAAGTTCGAGCTGGATGATGGTTCATTGTCTCATGGACAATGCATCCTGCTTGCAAATGCATACAAATGCCGGGGTCCGCTGGGAACGGCGACGTACGAACCTCAAACACCAAAAACCAACTCCGGACCGAGTCTTTTCGCGAGACCTGTTGTGTTCCTTGCTCTCTGCCGGACCATTATGCAAGCGAAGACCTCGCCGCTTAGCATCCGCTTTCGTCGCACTCTCCCTCCCCCCATGCTCGGACAGTCGGCTGCGCCTGCTGACTTACTAGCTGCGAAGACGCGGCTCGATACCATTAGAGCATGTTCAAGAAACAGCAGCAAAGGAAGGTGACACACCATATATATATATATATATATATATATATAATTCATATATCGTGTCATCTGAGCGGCTGCCGCTGTGGAGCTGCAACGCCCTGCGCACGCAGGATTTGCCGTTGCCCGGGCGGCCCTGGCGATCGAACATCACCCACCGAGGTCTGGCGCTGGCCGCCAAGGGCATGCGCCTGCACGCTCTGGGAAAACACAGAGCCGCAGTAAGGGCCGTTCCCCTGCCCGCCTCAAGAGAAGACTTCCTCCTCAATGGCGGGCAGGTGCTTCCTCTCGTCTGCGAAGGGCTCGAGTTACCTGACGACGAGATGCGCGAGTGCTGCGCTAGATGCGTCCGACTTTCGGCTGTGCACCCTCTCGCCTGGAGGCTCCCGCAGCTCCCGCGGCGGTGCAGGTGCCACTAAGGGCGGCGGTGCGACGCCGTTGCGTGCCAGGGCTAACGGCCGCCGGGCGCGCTCCGGAATGCTGCGCAGGGATTTGTCCTTCCACGCCTCAAAGCGCTTGAAGAGCCGCCAATGCAACACGCAGCAAAAAGCACGCAAAAGCATCTGCTTTCTCGAGACGGCCTTGGCTGCCAAGAGCCGAGAAGTGCCTGCGTTCTGCTGCAGTTGTGCCAAGCCCTTAATCTGCGAAGCCAGAGGGACCTCACAGGGAGACCGGTGCGCCACAGGCTGCCACGATATCATGCAACAGATGCAACCATCGGCACACGGGCTACCTCCAAAGCCCTCCAGTTGATTTTGTCTTGCATGGGGAAATCGTCGGTTGTCTCTTCGGACACCGAGAGACTTCCACTATTTACCCTCTCCTCCGGTCCATCCTCCTCTTTCCTCAGCGACTGTCGGACTGAGCAAAGTCTAATGGCAACAGCTGATTCAGGAAACTTGCCAAAGATCACATAGCCAGGCCAAGCCTGATAGGCTCAAAAGCGCAGTTGCAAGTTCATGGGATTAACAGCAGAGCACTGCGGGAACAACCGGACAGCAAAACCCAACAAACGACCCTGGCAGAAGAAATGTGGGAATCTTCCGAAACCACAACTGCCAACCCGAAACCATCCAGGGTTGTGGGACAGATTCCTCTTATGAACGGAAGCGCTCAGCGCTTACGTCCTTCTCAACCTGTCTTCGGAGTGGTAGGCTGCTGTATCAGTTCTGGCGGCTTGAATCGGTGTGGCCAAGGCTCGACGGGGCCCAGGCCTGCATGACCCGCAACGGCCCACGCTGCGGCGAGGACTCCGCCAAAGTGCTTCCCAGTAGGAAAACATGTCCTAAGCCCGAGCCCGCTTGTCGCATGCACAGGTTCGGAAAAAACCCTCGGCAATCGGCACTACTTACTAGTACCAGTTGTGAAAAGTTGTTTTGCCGATTCCAGATCAGGCACCTGGCATCTTCTCCTGCTTCTCTTTGGAAAGCTGCTGCCGCTGCTCGTGGATGTGGGCGTTACGAAGTCGCAGCTGCTCTCTCAGCATGGCGATCTCCTACGGATGAATTACTCTGAATCATTGTGAATCGCCGCTAGCACGCTGAAGTGCCCGTGTCCTGGTCAGACTGCTCCAGCTGTTGCCTGTCGACCTCCCAGAAGTGCTCGAGTTCAAGCCTTTCCACTTCCAGGACCTCAAGGCGAAGGAAGGCTGCAAACAATGCCCGGTTCTGCTTGATTTGCTCTTGCCTGCACTCGCTGGATCAGCTCCAAGAATGCCCTCAAGTCCTCTGGCAGGAACTAGAGCAGCGGCTTGAATGGCACATTTCCGTTCAACACGTGTGAGCCTCATTCAGAACACGCTGCGAGAGCTGCTTCTGCAGCTCTTTGCCTCACGCAAGTGCTCCATCTGGTTCCCGAGAATGATAAAACGAATTGCGAAAGAACGCGCCTGCAACTTTGTTCTGCTGAAGCCGCTCGTTCAATGACCGTCTGGTTTCGATGTTCTCCTTCGGAAGCTTGCAAGCTGCGGTCAAAGCAGTTCTGGAATCCTTGTGCTTGGTCCTTGATGCTTTCTTCGATCTGGCCCGTGGCCTCTTTCCACTCCTCCAAGGATTTTGCATCAGAACCTGGCTGCGTTTCGTCAGACTGGATCCTGGCTTCTCTGCAGTATGCCGCTCAGGCCCACTGTCGATGCCGAGATTTCTCTGCCAAGCAACGACGAGTTGAGGCTGCGCTGCCTTCGGACCGCTCTTCCCAGTGCAGAATGATCTCCTGCAACTGTCTATGGTGATGGTGTCAGCAGAGCACATCTGGGACGTCAAGATTGTAAAGACTTCAGCTCGACATGACACACCGCATGGCAGTATTGCAAGTAGCAAGATGATTTTCACACGAGAAAACCTGCAAGCTCGCGTATAGTATGACATAGGCAGGGCAGCCTGTAAGAAGGTTGATGTTTCATACAGTATCTGGTTGTGGTATACGCCATGTCAAAATGCTCTGGGAACGCTCCTTGGCCTGCTCGAGCTCAACTCTCCACTGCGAGAGACCACGCTCGACGTCAATGAGCGAACCTGGGTCTCAGAGCCATGTTGAGCCATGTCTCAGAATACAATGAATTTCTTCAAGGGCCAGGAAAAGGGCATAGTAAAGCCCCAAGACGCTGCAAGGATGTTCGGCTCTCCAGGTTCCGAATCACTTCCAACTTCCAGTTCTCGCTGGCTTCTTTCAGCACATTCTCGTCTCCTGAGTTTCAAACACTGAAGACCCCAGCCCTAGCGCAAGGAGACCCAACGGTGCTGACATGCCACCTTCCACTGCGTCACTTGGAGCCTCCCTTCGATTAGCGAGCTGTGACTTCAAGATAGAGACCTCGTTGCGCAGGTCGGCAATGGCTTGCTCGAACTGGCTCACATGCTCGTCTGGCCGGACAAGGTTTTGCTTTGCGCGGACCCGGATGTGCTTTGCCCGGTTTGCGTACTTCAACGTGTTCAGCGTATCCTCATAACTCAAGTGGCTTGGAGAAATATTTGCGATCATGACGGTACGACAGTTGCCACCAAGGGAATCCTTCAGAAGTCTCGTCAGCTTCGAATCGCGGTACGGTACAAAGTGGGACCCAGAGGCCAGAGCATTGATGCAATTTCCCAGAGCCAACAAGGATCGGTTGATGTTGGCCCCCTCCAAGAGCCGCATCCCACTGTTGTTAGTATGCGACGCACGTTCCGAGCCAGCGAGATCAATCATCGAAAGCTTTCCCGTCAAGGTGCCAGAAGGATTGCCGCGGCGCTCCACCCGAACTTGCAGAACGGCATGAGACCTGGATGAGGTGACATTCATGGACGTCGGCTCGGTCGTGCGGCGCTGGTTGCCCATCTGGAGCAGGTCCTCGGTTTTGTCAGCTCTACGATAGCTGCTGGCATCCTCAAACTTACGGCCTAGGTTCCCAGATCCTGATGTTGCTGTTAGGGTAACGTCCTTTCCGCCAAGGGTCCATCACCTCCTGCACCGATTCTGCTCGGATCTCCGTGATACCCGCTACATATGTTCCTGTCACGGGGTCCTCCCTCAGGTCGAGAATCCCCTCTTTGCAATCACCGGATCCCAAATCTCGTAGGTTTTCGTTGTAGACTTCCACGAAAGTGCATGTTACTGTAAAGCTATGTTCGCCAGGTTCGGCAACACCCGCGAAAATCTCTTCGACCGTGCGAAACATGATGCCGGGCTCGATCGTGGTACCAATCATGGTAAACGTCTTTCCAGCTCCAGTTGAACCATAAGCGAAAACAGTAGCATTGTAGCCCTGCAGAACCTTGGGTTGGACAAACTGGGTGCGTGAAGCAGCGTCTAAGCTCGGGAGATGCAAAGGAAACAGTTGAAAGCAAGCGGCCGACTTGATCAGCGGCTCTGCGGTGGCTTTGAAAAGAGTTTTTGTATCGACATCTGAACCGAAAGCTTGGTCGAATGCAAAGCGCTTCTCCTTGGACTTGTCTTGCCGAAGGTAGTCGTTGGCAGCTGATGCTCCTGCGATCTTCACACGGTGGGCATGGACATGGGCGTGGTACCGTTGATCCTCGCAAGCGTGCCGACTCTCACGGTTACGAGTCCTGGGTCCAGCAAGATCACCAGCCGCCCGTCCATGACCCTGCAGATGCTCTGTACATTGTTGCCTCGTTCCTCAGCTTGGGGAAACAAAAAGATGGAGTTCCAGCGAGCCTCACGATGCTACTGCATGCCACGACCGTGCAGTAGACCCGAAGCGAAACCATGCATGTCGCGCACACACCGCTTGGCTCTGCTGGATGGGGCTACATGTCGCCTGTATGTGTTTGAACTGGCTCTTGGTTTGAGAGATGTTCATGGGATAGCTCTTAAGTCAATAGTAAACAGAGAGAGCACCGAGCGACGGTCTCCGACAGCGGCCGACAGCGGACTGCCACATTGATGCGGCTAGATACCTCCTTGGATGCTGCAGAAATGGGCGGTTTCAGTGGTCATGTAGAACCATGTCATTCTGAGGATCATCTCCCTCATTGGCCACCGCCATAAGCGCAACACATCTGGACACATCGCCGGCTGCATCTGCCGAGCAGCATGTGAACTTTACCAGCAGGCTCTCTAAGAGTTACAAGCTTGGGCTCCGGGCACCTTGAAACCAGTGAACAGTCTAAACAAGGATAAGTATAAGTGATACTGATGTTGGGTTTAGTGGGTCTTGCGCTTGTGCTTGTGCGACGGCTCCATTCGCATGCCGCTGCCAGTGTGTGCATCCGTGCCTACAGTTCAAAAGATGGATCTGCAATCGGCCACATAATGCACCCGAGAAAAGGCCGTGTCTGGCTCGGCCACCACAGCTCTGCGCTTTATGTTCTGTGCGAACAAGTGCCAACCGTTAACCGCTGGACATCGGTTGACTGATTTTGGGGACTCAGAGAGCAGTCTTGACGACATCCGGCTACAGCTGCTGTCTGCAGCCATGGTGAAACGGCTAGCTTGGCCCTTTACGTCGCTGGGACGTTGTAGCATCGTAGCCCCGAACTACAGAACTACTCAAGCGGGGAAGGCCTGTCTGAAACGCGGAAGCCACACTCACTCAAAGCCAGCGACCTGGCAAACCGTCCATGAGCAACGAGTATAATATCACCTGACACACGCCATCGTTCTGCTGCCTTGCTGGGTGGGAGCGTACCTTTCTCGCGTGCCTGTCAGCGACAGCCGAAGAGAACGCCAGTGCTTCTCTCGCCCTGCCTGGCGAATGAAGTCCATGAGCTCTGCTCGTTCTCGCTCCTGCGCGAGACATCACACATCACCTTAAGCTTCTAGGTGCGGATCTTTGCAGGTTTGGCTCAGAATGCATCATGAACGCAAAGATGTCCTTTCTGGCATAATGTTGCCAGGTCCGATGCACAGAGGCATTCCACGTCTGCACGACGGCAACACTCAAGTAGAGGCATGCACCTGACAGGTTTGCCGTGAGTCTCGTCAGTATGGGGCCAAGAGAACTATCGTAGAACGCATTGAGGTCATGGCCGATGGTAGCAGTAGCCGAAACGCGCCAAATGACATCGTAGACCTGCATAACTCGATTTTAGTCGATGGGCAGTCTGAAGATAGGCGGAGCCAGTGCTCAGCAGGCCAGCAAGCCTTGTACCGGTACAGGGCGAAGCTGTACCAGTTGAACTTCTTGTACCAAGGCACATGTGCTTCCCGCATAATGGCGCTTCTCAACCTTGGTTGAATTGCTCTGGAACTAACCACAGCCTCAAGGCACACCCAAGTCTGGCACATGCCCGGCTCCCTGTCTCGTGCCACAGTACGTATGTGGCAGTATGAGCCGGAAGAGTCTGGATCGTGCGAGGACAGTCAAAAACTCCATGTCTTGTCGGACATGAGCTTGTCCGATTGATGCTGAAACAAAGTGCCTTTTCTTGACGGCGAGCCGTCTGCCACAAAGCCTAGGACATCATCTTTGGCCACGTGCCTGTACAGATGTTGCAGGGGCACTATCTTCTACGGCTTGTGCTGGGCTCCACCGGGGTCAGGTCTTGTCCCTGCTCGAACCATTTGACTTGGCGGATGCCTACAGCATTTCTGCACGCGGCTACGTGACGGGCTGGCTGAGCGGCTAAGCGCGTGAAAGAGATCAACAACAAGAACAGCTGGCCGTGTAGAAGGAGATGCCCGATTGAATTATGAGCCGTTTGCTTTGCGGCCTCCGAACATGGCAGCACACAGCACTGGCCTTCAACCACGAGGGCAATGGTTTACTGCCTGTGGTGTTGAGCCGACTTTGATCTGCCGCTCTGTCCAAGCTAGCATATGCCTATCTACCATTTCCTCTTCAACAGTTCCAAGCATGCAAAGGCGCCATACGTGCACGATCGACTGCTGACCGGTTCGCCAGCATCGTCCTATTGCTTGCTCCTCGAAGTCCACGCTCGTCTCATCCTCACTCCGTTTTGTTGGCTGCACCAGAATGATGTGATTGGCGATGGTTAGGTTAAGGCCGCTCGGAGAGATCTCCTCAGATCACGTGCAAGGTTGCAATGGGAACCAAGGGAGGGCGCAATCCCCCTTTCTGCAACCTAGAGTCCATGGATAACAGCATCACGTTGGTTTGTGGAGACTCCACAAAACGGTTGACTGCTTTTGAACGCTCCAGCGCGTCGCCCTTCAAAGTGACGTGCTCGACCCCGAAAGACCAGAACGCAGCCTGTCAACAGCGAAAGTAGACTGGGACTCAGCAGGCAAACAGCAGGACTTGACAATTCTCTCTCTACATTCTCAACAACGTGAAGTAGCATCCGCTGTGCTGCGGAGTTCTTCTGATTGGCAGAAAACCAAGATCTTGGCACCCGATTGGCTGTCCCAGATCCTTAGCAATGCGCGGTCTATCGCTCGCGGCTTTGGTCTCTGCCTCTGAGAGCTCCTGAGCGCGGCACCCATGAATCGTCTCCATCACGCTCTGGAGTTTAGATCCGTAGGCGCTGTACATTTCCAAAGACTGCCGTCGGTTGTGGTGTTGGCCCAGCTTCTGCACCAAGCTGCGAGTGTCTGGCATCTGCTGCATGAAAGCCTTGGGGATGTCAACGGACACCACGCGTTGGATCATGACTTCGGAGCGACAAATTGGACATCGTCCATCCTGACGGAGACAGATGCCCCAACAACGCATACAGGCTTTGTGGGCACACGGAGCGATGCCGCACTCGCTCCAGGCGAAGTCATCGTAGCAGATGGGACATTCAAAAACCTCTTCGGTATCTTGGAGCGATCTCTCAAACAGGAGGGACTTCGTCAGGTGCTGCTCCAAGAGCCGCATGCCTTAAGGTCTCCCGGCTCTCACACCGAAAGGCTTACCCACTTCGATCTCGTGAGCAGGAAGAAGATAGGGATGTAGTGACTGTAAGACTCTCTCACGGGAGATGGGAAGAGACGAGTGAGAGTGGGAGGGAGTGTCACTCGACTTCTGGAGCTGGCACCATGAACGAGCCTCAACCTGGGAAAGAGTTGATGTCAATGGGAACTTAGAACCTTTGAGATTGGAAGATTTCCAATCTTAGCCAGGAGGCAAGACAGCTCGTTGTGACATTCCCGGTCAATGGCTGCAAGAAGCTTTTCAAAGGAGATTCTTGCTCCAGCAGTCTCCAGAACGTCATTTCGATGAATCTGCTTCTGCACTGCAGCCTCTTCAATGCATCTGATGCGCATGGCCTTAGCTGAGTGCAGATTCAAGTCGAGCGCCGCAAGCCCAAAGATGGGGATGCCGAGGGCAGCACATTGGCGGCCTTTCTCCCTTCGCTGAGGTAGGATTCCTCGTCTAGCTGCCTGCAGCTTTGCAACCTGATCAAGTCGAAGCCGAACTAGGGCCTCGTAGCACATCCAGACTGGCAAGAGGCAGCGGGGCGCCTGGACTTCAGTTCGTCCTGCTGCTGTAATCCGTGCTCTCGCGCTGGCGGAGCCTCGCCTTCAGCATGCCTCGAGCAATGCAGGGTCCAAGAGCTCACATTATGACCTCCATTCTACGGCGGGTCACCCCAGACCCCAGTGACCGCAGACCAGACCCGACCTTGACAGCAAGTCATCGTGCGAGCCCATGGCACTGTTTTCCAGGAGCTGTCGGTAGGCCCGGAAGTATGCCTCGATCTTCACGGAGTGCTCAAACAAATTGTTGTCGAGTTTTCGAGTGTCTTCTTGATTTCGCTTCAGCATGTCGAGGCAGAGCTGTTCCGGAGACTTCATCTTGCGCCGCGGGCTGCCCTCACAATGTACAAAGTGAAGAGATGCGGAGTCCCATAGAACCCCAGTCTGCTGACTGTAGGTTTGTTGGCTTTCCCTCTCATGTTGCAGGTACAATGCCCGTTCATGTCTGGACTGGAGGACCTCTACCTTGTGTTGCACGACATCTGGCAACTTCACGGAGTTCGTGTTCTGACGGACCATCTTCTCGATAAAGAGTCGGCAGTCCTGTTTCGGGTGCAAACCCTAAGAAATCCCCCAAAACCGCTGCAAAGCCCTGAGTCCTGCTCCGTGCGCTGGACCTTCATCTGAAAAAACGTCGCAGTGACCGCCGCCTCTGCGACGGTCTTAAACGGAGGCGTGCTGGTCAGACCCCAGCGAGAATCTGCTTGGAGATGGCTCAGCTGGTGCTTGGCCTCGTTAAAGGGGTGTTCGCCATCGACGGCTGCGCCGATTAGCTCGTGAAACTCATCTGCGATGATGCGATGCCAATAGAAATGCTTCAATCTCAGCTTCAAGCCGGCATATGCCCGGCCACGGAAAATCTGGTAGGGGACGATGAGAACATCCGTTTCTTGAATGTCCTCCACTGACAACTTTCTCAGTTCTCCCCCGTTGGCGGCTGCCAAAACACGCAAGGATCCAACAGGTAGAAACTTCTGGATCTCGTTTTGCCACTGTCTCCAAAGGTTCGGTGGCATCATGATGAGTGTGGCACGCGATGGGATCAAGTCTTTTGAAGTCACCGGCAACTGTTTGCAGCGTCGGTGGTCCATCAGTGCCAAAGTGATCGTAGTCTTCCCGAAACCGATGCTGTCTGCCAGAATGCCTCCGCGGATGCCTTCCGTAGCATCTTCCCTGGCCATCATCCAGCCCAAGCTGCGAAGTTGATAATCGAACAGCGGCAGGGCAGGCCTGAAATGAGGGGGCTGGGTAGCTGGAAGATCTTCGTCATTGTTGAGAAGCTGCACGGAGAGTGGTGGACTACCAGCATAGCCAGCACCTTCCATTGTTAGAACCGGGCCATATCATGCCCGGCACCATGAAACGAAGACGTGACTAGACGCTTAGATTGAAACTCCTCCAGAAAACGCTTAACTGCGACTGCAGACAAGGTAGCCGTGGCCATTTGCCGCCGCGCAGCGCTGGCTGCGCATGTGACATCAAATTACAAGCATCGAGGTCGCAGCCGTTCAGCGTATTGCTACCCAGGTGAACCGGCTTGTGCCCACAAGGTATAATGGAACACGCGTACCACTTGGCCGAGATTGCTGACAGGAAGCGGGAGTTCTGGCTTGAGCTTGTGCAAACCACATGGTTTTTCGTTCCGCTTGTGAGACAGCTCGACTCAATTCTATCCACTTTGGGCTGTTAGAGGGAAGTGGGCCCATGGCTCGTAATTCGTCTCTACCTTGTGCTTCGCTTCCCCATCACTGCCAAAGCATTTTGTACATTGAGGAATACTTGGGGTGACCACGAGACGGTCGTGTTGACCATCCACCTCTGGCTTTACTACGCTGCTCGCGAAGCTGCGAAGTAGCTGAAGCCAACCTCACCTGGGCAGCAGGTACAGACATCAGAGCCCCGTGTAATTACTAGACTCCTAGAACCCTTGACCGTCAGACATGTTTCTTCCCAGGCCGGTGCTGTTGCAGCCCCAGGATAGGAGGGGCCCTTCTTGCATTTCATCTTTGCGACCATCGAAGTCGTAGAACTGAGAAGAATGTGCTGACACTGACCCCGGTGACTCTGCTACTTTGCCTCTTGCACCATTGACTATCTCCGACCTCCGTGGTATCTAGTAGCTCGCCATCTGCGCCAATGCCTGTCACAGCGGTGCCCTGAGATTGCTCGTTTCAAAGCTAGGGCAGAATGCCTCCGGCAATCAGCACCACTGTGTCGCTCAGCCTCAGTGTAAACTTGCGATGGCTCAGCTTCTTGCCAAGCCGCTTCCAGGGACAACGCCGCACCGCAGCCAAGCCGGAACGAGCCGAAGCGAGAGAAGGGCCCGGCCTAAAAACGCTCAGAGGTCTGAATATGGCACCTTCAACCTTCAGGAGAAATGGTAATAACGGCAAGCGAAGTGCTGAAAGGCTTCCGTGATGATGGAGGTCTCTGCATCATCTGCGTCTGCGGGCATATCCTGCAGACAACGCAGAAATTTTCAGAAGCACACTTGGCAGGTCGACGAGTCCTTGGTGGGCAGCGTACTTGAGTAAGCCTCATCGGCGTCGTCGTCATTTTCGTCCTCTTCGCCTCTCTCCGAGACAGAGGTTCGTCAATGACCAGCCTTCCGCGAAATCCCTCGGCCCACCTGCTTTCGGCGTTGGCTCGGCCTCGCCTTCTTCAGGCTTGGGAGCATTGGCATCTGACTCTTCTCCGTGAGGAGCTGCTTCGACTACTTCTTGTGGCTTCTCGTCCGCCTTGTCCTCGCTCTCCTCACCAAGCAACGATGCGGAGCTTGACCCATGATTTCTGACTATGCAGTAGAATCGGATCAGCTGCTGCTTGACTCGAACGTCGAACGCCCCAAGCTCTAAGGAGTAGCTGGTGCGGAAACCCAAAATCCCAAAAGGAGCAGATGGGTGCGAAAACCCAAACCCTCAAAAAGAGTGTGTCATGCGACAACGCAAAACGTAGTATCTGGTGCAAAACCCAATCTGTAAAGGATCAGTGCAAAAAGCCCAAGAACCTAAGAACATGAGCAAACAAGGCATGGTGCGGACAACCAAAACCCAAACAGGAGCACCTCGGGTCGTAAACTCCAAACCTGAGAAGGAGGTGTTAACACCCAGAATGGTAAATGGAGTACTAGTTCCGCCCTCAACCTTAGCAGGAGGCCCCTCTAAACCCAACTCTGGGCCCTGGGTGGTCGTCCGAGCAAGCTGGTCAAGCATGTTGATCTGATCGGGCGTTTGTCCCGGATCTGAGCTTTGGGTCCCCGGGGTCTGAACCAGTGAATGCCGAAACGAACGCCTGCAAAAAAGGCAACCTGCGGCTTCCTGGCTATCTTCCAGCTGAGCATGAGCTGGCATCAACCAATGGAAACACGATAAGACAGTCCCTTGTCGTTCTCTTACCGGTCGATGGATGGCATGTGTCTCGACTAGCGTGCGAAAGCCGCAAAGTTCTGACAGACTCTGGGCCACGCGATCACTTCTTCAAGTCCCAGATCGAATCTTCTACATTCCGGGCAGGTGCTCCTGAGATCGAGGCCTTGGGACTCTTCGCTCCACCCTGAAGGCAGAATTTAAATCATTTTGATACGAGCCAAGAGCTGGAAGGTTTGGGAGGGTATTGAGTTGCCGGCTGGACCACATCCAGCCATTCTGTTGTCCTTAAACGTTCACCTTAACATTGTGCACCCAGAACCCCCTGCGATGTCATCACATGTTGTATCCAAGCTCGAGGGGGCCACTGCGTTCATTGACTCCTCCAATGATCCAAACTCGATCTTGAGGGTGGTTGTCCTGCCACGAGCGAGACTACATCACTGTTCGGGACCGTGCCAAGTTTTACTAAGCGTGCCATCCCCACCGGACTGTTGTGCCATGTTGTACCATCAATAAGAACGCAACTGCGGGTCGTCCTTCTTCGGGACAGTAACCGCTGTGCAAGCCGCACGCCTAATTTCGACACCAGAATCTGTCTCAGGTGCTTGTGCGGCCTTTCTTGCAGCGAGGCTCGCACCACTCCATCATTGATGGCCCCGGCTCAAACCACGCCCGTCTTGGTACCAACCGCCGACATGTGCTGTGCCGGTCCCAATTTCTTCATCCATCTTGCGATGTGAGCTTGAAAGTCTGAGCTTTCTGACGCAAGATCCCTCGGCGAAGAAATGACCTCCCGAGAAACTATCCAGTGGCTCATGTTGATGGTCACGTCTCCGCCACAAAGCTCATACCCTTCAGACACGTACTTTTCTCTTATGCTCGCTATCATAGAACCAAATCATGGGCCTGGTGCCAAGACAGACCTGTGCCTGTCAAGATCCGTCTGTACTCGACTTATGCTTCAGACGACTAGCTTGGAACGCCAAATGCGGTCCCTGCAAAATTCGACGATTACCACCGTCAAGTCAAGTACAAGCTGATGGATTTTGTGCAAAAGTCGGAATCAGAGCCACGTACACCTGCAACCACATTCTAACGAAGTCAGGGGACATCTGACTGTAACATAGGCCCTGAAAGTTTGGAAAGCCACCAGCCATGAACTGTCACGACAAGGCTGTGGCTCTCATCGGTAGCTTGAATCGATAAGAGTATGTACAGCTTGCATTGCCGGTGTGCCGGTCGAAGTGCAAGATCGTAAGAGAAGGGGGATCTACATTCGGATGCACACCTGCTCTTCACCCTACGCCTACTTATCGTGCAGCGGGACTGTAACAGTCCCGCGTCTGAAGAAGTCAGACTTGAAGTACATACATTCGGGCACGATTTGTTGGCATTCGAAGTAGAAGCGCTTCTCATCAGCTGCTCCCATCGAGAAAGTCTTGCGGGGAAGCACACCTTCTTTGACGACAGTCTTCACCAGGTCGTTCTTGTCCATGATAGGCAAGAGAAAAGCCAAAGTTCCATCCTCTGCGGTCTTTTCTGCAATCACCTCCTCGCCGTGCACATAGTCAACTGAAGCCTTAGGGTTTTCGGCCAGGAAAGGGTCGAGCCAGCTTGTGAGGGTGGCCGCCTCAAGTACAAGGTTGGGGTTCAGGACGGTGAGAACTCCGCTGGTGTGCTTGCTCCGGAACTCGATGTGCTGGGAGCCTTGCTGCTGTGGGGCGTTGCGCAAACTATCAGAAATCTGCACAGGGCCACAGCCAAGCTCAAGCAGTTTCTTCTCGAAGTCTGCCAAAGCCTTCTTGACGTCAACATTGAAAACTAATCGGTGGATGGGCTCAAAGGTCATTCCTGGGTCGTGGATGTTGACCAGTTCCACCAATGCATGGCGCGCTGGATGATCTTCGGGGTCTGCACCCTTCTTCTTGAGGTTCTCCCAGCACTGCTTAGCTGTGGCCAGCGAGTGATTTCCATCGCCCACCTAGGCAAGCCAAGCGTAGATGCTCGAATTTCTTGGTGAGCTACCGAGCTGGTTCGTGCATGCTTTTTTGGTGGAGTGCTTCCAACAAGCAACCCTTCGTGAGCAGGCACTTTGTTTAACATAGACTCGGAGCGACCAAGCTCTACTGCTGTGCCGGTTCTGGGTGTCGGCGTAAAGGTCTGTTGAGACGGGATCGCGTGTGTGCCTGCGGGCGACCTTGTAGGAGCTTTCTGTGTGTGGGTGCGGCCGACTGCGTCCAGCATCCGTGACCGGGCAAGCTTTCTGGCAGAACCTTCTGTTAAAACACCTGTGCTTGACCAACGGCCCGCTACCTTCTCTCGACTGCGCAAGGATGCGCGCGCATTCTGCGATCTACGGGACCTGCCGTCCGTCCCTATGGAAGCGCAATCTGGCGAGCAGGGGTGTTTATCAAACGAGAAGCCGACACGTCATGCAGGCATCGAAACAGTCTGATTTCTAGTTCAACACCAAAGTTCAACAGCAAGCATTGGATCAACGTGGCTGCTGCTGGCAGCATAGCCAAACCGGCGTACGCTGCGAGTCTCAGACTGTCTTATGACTACGTAATCCAAAAACATTACTCCAGAAGTCAACCACCAATAGCAATCAGGCCCTCGGTGCTTTCCGCAGACTTGTTTCCTTTATTCGGCAATGGCACTGGGAAAAGAATCACCTCTTGGTCTTTGCTGGCACCATAGCGCTCGACAAAGGCGTCTCGGTTGGCCAAAGCCCGCAGTGCCCGCACCACCCCTTCCACAGCATCACTCCTGCAGAGGGTGACGCAGACACACACACACACACAGACACACCCACAGAAAGACAAACAAACATGTCTGGCAGTGTCTCACTGGCCGCGGCAGGACCTCAAACGATAAAAATTCTTTCGGCCAGGGTGCTGTGCCACATGAAACCCCTTCAGATGTCCGCTGCCTTTCATCAGCTCGAAATCCTTGGAACCGGAACCACATCAACAACCCATAAAACATGCTTGTGAGCCTTACCGGTGGGCCATGCATGGGATGCCTGGCCCGTTGTGCGTCAAGCGTCGTAGAGCTTGGGGAAGTCAGCGCATCGATCGAAGAGTGGCTCGATCACTGTCTTCTTCGGGTCGTCAATGAGCACCTGGAATGCAAGAAGCACTGTAAAGCCAGACGAAGCCCCAAAGCTGTGCCTTGTTTATCCAAGGCCGGGCACAAGGATGTGAGGCAGCTCGAGGGGCGACTGCTCCCGAATAGCAATGCGTGGGGGGAGTCGTTCAGGAATCGTCTTCCTTGCATGCGAGGCCCGGCCTAGTTTTAGTTATGCCCTTTGCAAAGTCTGAAGCCTACCTTCCCATGGAGGAAAAACAAGCGAGGCTCTCGGTGGGACGAATCAAGCTTTGGGAGCCCTTTGCGAAGCTGTACATTTCCAGATCCAGGGCAACCAGCAGACCCTTGCGACCTGGGACGGCTGTTGCAGGGAAGTGCGGAAGGAATGGCATTTTGCTTCTGACTTCAGAGATGAAGTTGATGCCGAGCATACGAGTACAACAAGCAAGTGAGGCGTCAACTGTTGACAACGGGAGTCTTCCGATCCAGAAGGACGAAGCCTGGATGCTGTGGAACCAGAACACGGTCTCTGTCGTACTCGTGCATTTTGTCCCTGATACCGCGGATGATCTGCTGGTTTGTTTTTGCATCACCCAGGTACACCTCCGGAAATATCAAGTTCAGCGTAGACGGGGAGTCTCCGACAAGCTGCTTGACGTCCTTCCAGTACTGCGGCTGGGACGTGTACTGGTCGCATGCGACCACGCACCACTTGGTCAGGTCGAGGCCTTTCCGTGGCAGAAGCACCCGGGGAACCTTCAGTCCGATATCCGGAAACCGCAACGTGTCCGCGCACCTGAACATCTCGTGTCCACTGGGGCCGATACCTATCCTTGTCAGGCTCATGGCCCGACGGGCCAAGTTCAGCACATTCCGCAGGAGAATGGCAAAGGAAATCTGGCCCACACCCCCTGGCACTGGCGTTATCTTGGACACTTTCTGCAAGGCCTCCTGGAAGCACACATCTCCAACCATGCGCTGGCCCTTCTGAGCATCAGGGACGACCTCACCCAACAGGAAACACGCCGCAACCGTAAATGTACTATCCGACCCACAGTCTGCGGCATAGGGTCAAATTTATAAAGCCTGGCAACGTTCATGCCAACATCGATCACCACCGCGCCGGGCTTGATCCAGTCGCCTCGTACCAGGCCAGGCCGTCCAGCACAGGAAATCAAAATGTCCGCTTGCTTGACGTGCTCCTGCCAAACATGGCTCAGATTGCGACAGACTTTGTGCAAGAGGCGAGCAAGACTTTCGTGGTTCTCTACATATGACTTCTTGCTGTTGCAGCACTCGGCTTCCTGCAGGTTGGCGGTTTGACTGTGGCACGTCGTGACAGTGCAGTCGTGGGCAGTGAGCAGTGCGGCGATGGGAGACCCCACGGTGCTGGAGCGGCCCAGCACCACGGCATGCTTGGAGTGGAGTTCTACTTGTGATCGGAGGAGGAGCTCCATGACGCCCATTGGCACAGTTGGTCGGGCCTCTGGCTCTGCTCCGAACTTGTAGCCACCTGCGGCCAGGACACGGCCCATGTTGGAGAAGGACAGGCCATCCACGTCCTTCGCTGGACCGATCGCTTGCAGGATGGCGACCTCGTTCAAATGTTGTGGCAAGGGCAGCTCCACCACAATGCCGTGGATGCTGTCATCCGCCATCAGGTCGCTGATGATCTTCAGCAGCCGACTTTGCTGCACTGTCTCGCTGAAACGCAAGATCTGTGCATGCATGCCGCATCTCTCTGCCATCTTTGCTTTCAGCTCTGCGAAATTGGACAAGTTGATCTTCTGGTCGTCCATTTTTTCTGGCCTCATGCAATCAATGAGCTGGCCGAAGCTGTGATTTCCCACCTGCATCGCACATGACAAAGACTGGGACCTCCACAAGTAGCTTCCTCACATCTGCCGTGCCTCGATGATGGCGAGGCCTGGAGTCACCCCGTACTTGGCATAGAGCTCCGTGGTAGCTGCCTTCACATCTTCACCTCGCGGATCTCACGGTCATAGGGATCCGGGTCCCGGGGTATCTGCGACTACCGCTGACGACTCATTTGGGAGTCTTAGAAGCCGAAGCACTCAAGGCTGCAGCAATGCGGCGCCCATCGATGATCTTCGCGTCATCAGCTTTCCGGGGGCTGCGGCTACGATCTTGCGAACCTGGCAAAACTGGCGCTGGGCCTGTCGACTTATAGGTGTAGTTGCAGCGCCGGGAAGAACGAACACACACACACACACAGACAAACACACATCCTTGAGTTCTGCCGGGCCTGCGACCACCATACCGGAAACTAAAGCTCCAAGCGCAGTCCAACTACTCTGTGCCCGTGTTGAGCCCTGTTCCACGGACCAGACTTAAGCCAACTCCTGGTCGCAGGCAGGCGCCCTCAAGCAGCCCTTCAACATGCTGTCAGTGACTGGCCGACCGTTAGATTGAAAGCATGTCCCCATGTATACTCATGACAGGGAGCTCACTGCCTATGAATGCTGCCATGCATCTTGATCTACATGGCCTCGTCTTCGTTCTCACTGTTCCAGCTCGTCCGCCTGGAAACGCATGCAGCTTGAACAAAACTGAGAATTGCCAGCAAAAGCTGTGGCCTGACTTCCGTCGGCTCCTCACAGTGGCCCAAGGTTCTGTTCCGAACTGAACAATGCGATCTATCTGCAGTCTGCAGTCTTCAGGAAGGCTGCACTCCTTCCGACAGTCGGAAGCATAGGCGACTGACTTGAGCTGGAACAAATCAAGTATCTCGGTGGAGTTGACACCTAAGCTTCTCATCAGTCCTGAACATGATGGTGTGCTCAAGCACTCGACTGACTAAGCTGCAGACTCGTGAACCTGGCTTAGATGTATCGAACAAATCGCATGGAACCCTTTTGAAACATGCCCGGCTTTCTCGTCAAACCTTAGACAAATTTCGCTCAGACCGCAGTACTTACGCCCCGTTCAATGCATCTGAGTGCCCCACCCACCAGCAACGATGAGGTGCCTTTCGCCATACCTGCAGCCAGTGCCAAGCATGCCTGAAGCGCGACGCCCTCTAAATCAACTGGCGGGCATCGCTGCAGCACAGCAGGCCCTCCGTGAGCGCAGCTTTGGTCCGGGTCGGGCTGTATCCGCCTCATATGCACAAAGACTTCGGTTCGGGGTGGGTAATTAGGCAGTATGATGTAATCGTCAGGCATGAGGAAGTCTGCGTATGTCTATCGCTGCAGAAGATGTGAGCATCCTCTTTCCTCCTGATCCTGCTCTTCGTCTTCGTCACCTCAATGATCGCAACTGTCGTCATCATCATCCTTGTGATCCGCTGTCGCTGGCTGGTGCCATCGCTCGTACTTCTACTCCCACTGCTGTTGCTCTTGCATTGATGCTACGATGATGGTGGCATGAAACGAGACAGGGCTGCTAGGAAGACGCCCCTCGCCTGGACACTCAGGACCTCCGTGCTCTGTCCGGCATCTGCGCCATAGCCACCGATGACTATGACCTCAAACTTGGGTCTGTCATGCGTGCTGCGAATCATGATCATGCAATGTTGGAACTGGCAGCTTGGCTCCCTTGCCCAGGGCATCCAAACCTCCTCTTCCTGCTCCTCATCTTCCCCTTCCACCCTCACGCGGATGGTTTACGGTTGCCAGGGGAAGCAAGCGATAGCGCCCTCCGGGCGTCGAGCTCCGGCTCCTCCTCCTGAATGGGAAGCGGCAAGGCGACCGCAGCGCAGCCTGCCCGCGGCATCGTCCTTGGCACACGGTCATCGCATCTCCCAAATCAGTCTACTCTGCATGAGCTGCTGGCAGGCGCGGGCCGAAAGATACCTCTCCAGTCACGATGTCCACGACCCTGACAAGTTCGGTCGCGGCCCGTGCACGCTGACAGCTCCGGCAAGCGCGCTCGGTTGTGTCCACGGCCAATCCAAACTCGTCGAACCCACCGACCTGCTGTACTCTCGAGCATTCATCACTGTGTCCAGTGGCGGTTGCAACTTACAACTTGCATACTTCTCGCGGAGCTGCCATGCTTCGGCGGTTTCCTTCACCGGGTGCCACGCCACGAGAATCCGCCCATCACCCAAACAAGCAGCCTGATGCTTGCTACTGGGCAGGGACGAGCTCCCTCGGCTGGAATCGACTGAATGCCTCCTGAGCCTGGGGCACTGCAGTTCCAGCGTGGGGACGCCTCGCTCTTGATCATCATTTTCCCACACGAGGCTCATCAATGATTGTCGGGAGTCGGGATAAAGAGCTTCGGCTTAGGCCAGGGCCAGGGAAGGCCCCGAAAACCAATACTGCGAGGGCCTGGCATTGGGCGTGGAAAGCGGCTCTACCTCCGGCTTTGCTTTTGCGGCCCCCTTCTTGGAACATGCGCATTCCACAGCTCCGGAAACGCGAGGACAGCAAGCAGTCACCAGGAGATTGTAGGTATGGCCAACGCTCCACTCCTCTCCACTCCACTGCATGGTAGTTAAGAACATACAAGCACAACCCCAGCCCACCCACACAGATAGATGTAGAGACAGATATAGATTTAAATGCAGATATGAATACCATGCAGATATGTACTGTAGTGTTCTGGACGGCTCCGACCATCCGAGGTTGGATCATAAGGTGGATTACCTTCGTCGGGGCATGATCCTATGAGAGCCTATGAGAGTGCTGATCACCCATACCAATCTGGAATTCTGGTGGCGTTGTTCTGCTCATGCTCTTCTGACACTCTGCGACAACATGCGGCATCCAGGAATGCGAAGGACAGGTGTTTGGCCCTGTCCTACTTGCGGCAGGGAGTGCGCAACAAGCTGCCATGCATGCACAATGTGCGGAGGTGCGTTGAAACAACATATGGCTAGTGTCTTCGTTGACGGGAGACCACTCAAACGCCACGCGATGTGAAATCTGCACACACACACAAACACAGGGACACAGAGACACGCAAACACACACACACACACACACACACTCTCTCGTTCTCTTTCTCTCTCTCTCTCTCTCTCTCTCTCTTTCTTTCCCCAGGCTTGAGGGCATGCCCCCGCGGGAGCAGCCCGTTCTGTTGGAGGTGTGCACGGTATTACGTGCGAAAACTGGTCGGGCTCTCCGCAGGCTGAGCTTCTGTTCGCCCCGATACTACCGAGGGTAAAGGACTCCGTACAGTTAGCTAACGTAACAAGTTCTGCTCAGGCCTCACTGCTCGCCCGTGCACTGCAGGTGTTCTGCTGAAGGGCGAACTGTGCTGCCCCGATGACGTGCAGGGCTGTGGGCTACAGCGGCGGAGGCTACTGGCTACGAGAGCGGGCTCTGGACTCCGAGGCAGGGTTGCTATCAGTCATGACTCCAAAAGCAAGTCAAATAGGCTGTGTTTTGTAGTTGGGCCCACGCTCTGGGTGTAGACTTAGGGTGGCCTCGCCCCGTGCAAACAACAGCAGGTGTGGTCTACTAGCGAGTGCAACAGCACTATCCGGCTTGGCCCCCCTGTGGGTTATCTACTGCCCCGCTAAGAGGGAAAACAAGCTTCAATCTCGACTATGGTGCAGATCGCAGTACGCAGGGCGCTTTGGTTGTCCTAGGTGCCGCCCCGCTCCAGCTCAAAACACACAAGAAACATTCTCAAGCACGGTGCAGATCACAGTACGTAGGGCGCTGTTACGGCTCCTACCTGCCCCGACCTGCCATGCCCCGACAAGAAACACCTGGGTATTCGGGTACATGTCTATCACAGGGCGCAGGCTGGCGTGTGGGGCCTAGTCACTCTTGTCCGGTGAGCTCTGTGGAGTCGGACGGTCACTGGGTCCCGCGCTCACTCGCCTGCGGCCTGCGGCTCACTGGGACTTCGTGCTCCTCCAAGGCCTGCCCTCTGCTTCTTCTCTGTCCGCCCTCAGCTCGTCTGCCGCAGTCGGTCTCCCCTCCGTGTGGTGTTCGTGGCACCCGTAGAGGGAGATTTTCTTCTTGGTCGTCGTAGAACTCGTCGCTCTCCTCACTCCGGTCGGCTTCTGTGGCTTGTGTCGTCGGGTCCGTCGTCCGTTCTGTCGTCGGAACGTGTGCGGGCTTGGGAAGAGCTCTCCAGCGCGTCGGGACGGTCTTGCGGCGGTTAGGGACATGTGGCTGACGACCGTACCACGGGCTGTCCAGCCCCTACCCTATCGCAGGTCTGCGGTCTTTCCGCAAGGGCGCTACTACACCATTTCGGGTATTAGCACCCTTACTAAGCCCATGCGTTTAGCGGCGCTCGGGCCGGCGACTTGGGAGATTGACTTAGTCGGCGCGCACTATGAGGCCTTACGCAACCTCACTGCTGCACTTGGGTTTTCTCCCCCCTTGGCGCCCGTGCAGGAGGCGCGCGCGGCGCTTCAGGCTGGTTACCTCCAACCAAACCACCTTTCTAGTGGTTCAGGCCTCTGCATTGATAACAAAGAATCCCGAGCTCCAAAGCCTGGCTGAAACACCTTTGACCATAAAGTCCATAGCCATACATGGTTGATGCATCCCCACCCTTGATGGCATAGCATAACACAACATAGCATAAACATGAATGCCTCCAAGACTCCAGGATCAATCCGAAAAACCTCACCATAACCTTTCTGAAACCTTTTTTCCGCTGAACCAGAAACACGAAATCCCGAAAAAACCGAGTCGAAACCACCCCTGTTCGTGAACCCGCTGGGAAAACCATGCACTGCAGCACCTAGCATGACAGTCCGGCCTGGCAATGGTGTCCCCCCGTACGTGAGAGGCTCGAAAGTCTCGAACAAAGTTTCGGGCTTCTGGTCATAGTGGGCAGAACAACAGCTGGAACAAGCAATTGAAGCACGACAAACTTGCAACTCTGCTGCCCCCCTCAAGAAGACCGCCCCTCCCTAGCACGGCTAACCATCCCCTCAGTCACTATCGTCCGTGCGCCAGCTTGCCGGTACCCGCCTGCTGCTTCCCAGCGGGCTGAGAAGCCGTCGCCGACTGTGCCGGCCACACCGCTCCCGTTCAGCTTCAAGCCATTCTTCCATCGCATGTGCTTCGGCGATTTCTTCGGCAGTGAGTCGCTCTTCATCGGGGCTTGGCGGATGCTCGAGACTGTCTGGGTCTCTTTCCGGGTAGCTCGGAACAGAGAGCTGAGACATGTCTCCCCCGCAGCTGCCAGTATGGCAGGAAGCGGGGCGGATCTGTCTCTCTCTCTCTCTCGCTCTCTCTCGCTCTCTCTCTCTCTCTCTCTCTCTCTCTCTCTCTCTCTCTCTCTCATGCTGGCTTGCTTGCAAGGGGTTTGCAGACCCCTGCAGCTGTCCAGCTATTTGGCCCCTTCCCGGGTGGGACTTCATTGAAGGTTCTTCCTGGAAGTGAAACAGGCACATTCGGGGGAACACGCCCACTCTCTCTCTGTCTGTCTGCTCTGTCTGTCCCTGTCTCTTCTCTCTCTCTCTCTCTCTCTCTCTCTCTCTCTCTCTTCTTCAGCTCGGCCAGGAGGGTCAGGCGAGACACCCTTCCCTCCGCGCGCATTCGCGCACCGGGAATTTTGGGCGGTGAGAAAAGATAATAACTCCATGGGAATATGCACTGGTGGACCTGTTTACACCCCCCTTTACACTAACCCCCAACCCGCCTCGAAGGTTATGGCTCTAGCACCCCAACGGTTGGTCCCCGTGCGTCCCACGTTGCTGAGCCTGGGGCCTTGCCTGGGGTTTCCCCGGCTCTGTGCTGTTATTGGCCCCCCTTCGAGCTCACATGCGAGGCAGCAGGTCTGTACAGTGAGGCCCGGACGGAGAGCAGCACATGTCAACAAAAACACAAGCACCCCCTAATCACTGTCATCAGTCCACGCTCTCTCGGCTCTCCGCCGGGTTTCCCCCGGGCTGTGCAGTCTCCTACGGCTAGCTCTGCCAAAGGCGGCCAGCTCCGCTTCGACTTGCTCCTGGAGCTCGTGCCCATCGGCTATGGCTTGGGCTGACGGTTCCTCACTCTGGATTTGGACTTGTCCGCCCCCGAAGGAGCATAGTCCCAGAACCTGGATACCATACCAAAAGTTCACAATAGGCAATCGCTGTACCCGACCAAGCATACAACGACTACCGTAAGGGTCATGATGCAACTGACACTGTGAGGCATCGAAAATTGTTCAGCGCACAAATGCGCCAACTCGCAAGTAACAAGAGCAATGCAAACAAAATCGAGAAAAAAAACTCTGTAGGCCACTACACGTGCATCCATCTCGAGCAAAGAGAGACTAGAACCAAAACGAAGCAGAACCACAAGGGGGAGAACCCAGGCAACAAACCGACAGACAACACCACCAAGACTTAGTCAAGGGGACAAAACCGGAGCAGAACAACCATCAGAAACAGACTGACATGACAATGGACCGAGAGAGACCCAACACCCCACACGCACCAATCAACACAGACGACACAACACCTGCCCACCAACAGGGACAAACCGACTAGACTGAGACCCAAACAAGCAACAGAAACCAAATCATTGCAGAGCAGAGCAGCAGTCGGACGGTACCGACTGTGCGTCTTCAGCCGGGCGGTACCGACTGGATCCCAAAGTCGGACGGTACCGACTTTAAAGTTCGAAACACATCGCAGCAAAAGCACTGCAAAAACCAACCTCGAAACCAAGTCATCCACTAGACTTGCAAGCAAGCAGCCACTCAACGTTTGCCCTGTTTCGGCTCCCTCTGCGCGGCGACGGAAAGACGCGACTGTGCCCCACGCTTCCTAGAAGTTCCACCCTGCGCTCCAAGCCCCGGCGGCGGTGCTCCTCGACCTCCCTTTCCCTTGCCCTTGAAGTAAGAGGTGACCTCCTCCGCACTGTGCCCCAAACACTCCTCCAGCACTGCCCGGTGAAGAGCTCCTGGCGTGTACCTCCCACTCTTGAGCCCCAACGGTGGCCAGACCCCCTCCGGTGACTTGGACACTGCCGCCTGCACTGCCCGTGAGGAAAGCGCGGCTCTGGTATTGAGCCCCTCCAAGTTGCTCTTGAACAGGATTGTAAACGTAAGCGGCCGATCGGAATCCTGCGCAGGCTTGATGAATGAGGCCTCGATGGCACTGGCAGGAGTGGCCAAAAGTGTGCTCCGAACAGGCTCGTCCACCCCCTGCTCCACCAGTTGCGCCGCCACCGCAGCCCACAGTTGGCACTTGAGAGGTTCCGGCTTGTCCCCGCCACTGCCGCTCGCCGCTGCCGCAGACCCCGCCCCCGAGCGTGCCTCCACCGCACCGGCGTTCCACTTGTCCACCAGAGCAACGACACGCTCTCTAAAGCTACCAGTAGCCAACACCAAAACCAAGCGCTGGGAACGCTCCTTACCCTGT